TAAAGCGTTCAATGGCGTAAAAGAGTGACATGGAATATATTTCATCACTCCGCATATTCTTCGGTCGAGTGACTACTGGAAGATGTCGGGGATTGCTTCTGACTCAAGTTAGGAGTTGAACGGGCATGGATATTGAGATTACGAACCGAGGACTCTCCTATGTTCAAGTTTTCATTTTCTTTTCCACTGCCGTCGGTCTCAGTTCCAGTGCTTTCACTGCCCTTTGTCCGAGAATGTAAAGCGCGTAGCGTAAGCCCAAGTTCCCGCTCCAGCTCTTTTTGAGAGGGCAGATTCTCTTTCGTTCCATTAAGTTTCTTTCTATAAGCTCGCAGTGTACGGCAGACTTGTTCGGTAGACATGTTAAGGCTGCCAAACTCAGTCTTTCCGCCATACCTAGTACGGGATCGGATGTCTAATGGTGAGCGGTGATTGCTGTGGCTTAAGTGGCTGGTCTTTTTCGCGGGGGTTGACTTGGGACTAGGAGGCGACGGTGTCCTACGTAATCTCTCTAGGCGCGAGCTGGAGCGTGCTGATGCTGGTGTCGGTGTCGCTGGCGTAGCATCTCCATTCTTGGTCGACGAGGGCGCAAGAGAAAGTTTTGACAACTTGCGTATGAGTGGCGGAGATTGCTCGCGCGTCGGTGTAGAGGTCCCTGTCCCATGCTCATGTCGAAATTCGGCAAGTTCATTCTTTGATAGGATCTTCCGTATAGGAGGTCTAGAAAGGGCCATCTCCTTTGCACCCTCATCTTCCTCCTTCGACGTGGTTCTGGTGATTTCTTGCGCTTGGAGGGGCTGCACTGAAATGTTCCACATCATCACAACACCGTCCATACCTGAGCTTATCAATGTGCGTACGACGGTTCGACTGGACGGATCAGGGTTCCTTTCTAGCAACTGCACGTCACTGACACCCTCTGTATGGCCGAATTCACCAGTGAGTAATACACCTCGGTCCAAGTCATACACACGTATCGACTTATCAGTGCTGGCCACTCCTATTAATAGCTTGGGACTATGTCCCAAGATTTCCCCAGCTACTGTCAATGCACCCATTACCACAGCATCATTTGAATCGGAATCGACAGCTCGGATAGAATTCAGATGGCGGCCGGACGGTATCTCATATTGGTGTACACATCGGTCTGCCGTGGATATGACAAGGACATCTGCATCATCTGCGGACAAGGACATAGAGACCGGGGACGATTTCAATGTTATGACTTTGGAAATCATGTAAGCAATCGAAACACCGTCATCGGCCTCTCGGGTCACACGCTCCCTAATCAGTACTGTGCGATCAGCCGAGCATGAGAGAAGGTTTTCCCCATCGTTGATAAAAAGAACCTGCCCCACAGCGCCTACGTGGTCATCCATCGTTTGGACTAACTTTAGGTTGTCTTCTGTTATCTGAAAAAGCTGTACCATGCGGTCACGGCCGCAGCTGGCGATGAGACAAGAGTCGAAAGTTGTGCTCAACGCAATACCAGTGACTTCGGCTCCATGAGCTCGGACTTGATTCATGCACTTCCAAGACTGTCCTTCTAGCACTCGTAACACACCGAATTTATCGCCAGAAACGAACACATTCATCTCATCGCTGGCCCTCACTACCCTCAATTCATTTGAGGCTTCCTCATCGACACCCGGAACTTCCTCCAAAGGAATGACTCGAGAACCCCGGCACTTGCCAAGAGTGTCCCAGAAGTTCACTGTGCCATTACATGACCACGTGAAGAAATCGGCCTCCAGGTCATTCGGTACTTTTAATGGACCGATCCCAAGCACAGCATCTCGATGAGCAGGCATAGTGGTCTCCACGTGGCTCTGTTCATCGTCCATGGCATCAAACGGGTAGATATGGATAGCTCTGGTCGTATCCACTGTAACTATGTGCGTTGTCAGAGATCCCATGCATGTGATAGCAGGCCCTCTGCCTTTCTGTTCCTCGGAGGGCGTTTCAGAAAGGCCAGGCGACAAGGGGGCAGCAGATGATTGTAGAACCTCAAATGGGAATCTCTGCATTCGCCTGCCTCGACCGCCAGCCCATACACAGGAACGATCCGAGTCCACCATCAAGGACGTGATGCTGAAACCCACGTTCTCCACCAGAGTTATTTTCTGAGAACCCTCTGCGTCACTGAGAAAACACAGCGCACCCGTATCCGTGCCTACCACGGCCTCATGATCAGAAACGCTTGCCACGCTTGTAAACGTGCTCTCTGCCAAAGACCCCAGTAAACAGTTTCTTCCAGACAGTGCTCGCGGAGCAAAGCTAGGTGAACTAGGGGCGGATTCCATGTTGTGGCGAGTCTTAGTAGGCGATGCAGGTCTTGTTTCTGGCAGTCTCCAGACTTTGACGTGTCGAACTCCCACCCTAAATATGATTTAGTCCCCTTATCATGTCATTGAATTGTCTGGAGAGACCTACGTGATCAAAGTTTGACCCATGAAGCACATGTCCCGTATCGAAGACGTGCATTTGTTGGTTAAATGGAGCTTTGCGGCGCCACTTTTCAGACTGACCGACCAAACAAACAGAAAGCCGTCATTAGTGTCACCAAGCGTAGCTAGGTACTGGGAGTCACTGCTAAAAGCAAGCCCGCGGACGCCGAAGGTATGTTCAGTAAGGATTGACAGCGGAACATCGGAAGGGGCGTCTTTAGCAGTTGAGTAGATCAAGACTCTAGGGCCATATCCAGTCTAGAAGAAGATCAGTAAACACTGCACTATGGCCAGATTGGGTGTTTGAACCACGCACCTCGCCCACAGCAAGGAATCTCCCATTTGGGCTAATTGAAACGCTTGTAACTGCTTTTACTCTTTCTCGTGAAGACCAGGCGCGGCTGCTGTTGCTTTCTGCCAGCTCATTCGCCGGTGCGCCGTTGAGAATGGCGCTATGTGCTGTGGACTTAACGCCTGATAACGGCCTGGTGCGAGTATCTGGTGTACTTGGAGGAGTAGATTGATGGTAGAACGAAGTGACAGGGTGGACACTCGAGGCAGAGGGGCGTGCTCGGAAGAAGCGTTGATTCACATTGCCCGCCTCGTCTAATTCAGCCAGGATGGCTGCTGAACCGGCGCAAATGGCAAACGATTTGCTCTGGTCATGACTGGAAAACCCATGGGGAGAAGTTGTAGTCGTACCGATCACGGTCTGTAGGGATAAGGTTGCCTGGTGTTGCGGTGCTTTGTTGGGAGTCCGCGGGGGTCTCAAGCCTGGAGAATTGGTGGGTGTGATTCGAAGGGACGAGCCTGCGCCAACTGCTTTGCCTTTGGCGTTCAACGAGTTGTACGCCATGACCAGTTTGGGATGGATCTGGTCAAAATCATTCAGAAACCTCTATGGACAAAGTCTCAAATTTTGAACGTATGTCTCGACTAGGGTTTTGGTCGCGCTTTCGGCTGGTAGCTTTCACAAGCTATTTCGGTGTCATTCAGTAATTCGCAACCAGAAGAAACCAGAGAAAGCAAATAGGTAAGAATATGTTTTCTTGCTTTGCAGCAGTAAGCCTCTTGATTACAGTGGTGATAGACTGAACTTGGCAGGCGAGGCGTTTTGTGGGTGATAGCACAAATGTGGGAGGGGTGAAGGAATGACTGAGCTCGGGGAGCTCAGAAAGAAGCTCAGTCGATGTGGACCGGGTATAAAGGAGCGACCAATAGGTTGGGGTGGGAAGGGAGAAAGAGGGAAGAAAAGACCAAAAGGCGAAAAGAGAGATTAGCGAAGGTACGGAAGACTGAAGGTAGAAATGAAGCTGAAAGGAATGGAAGCAGGGAGCACAACTGCGTATGTCCGTCAGTAAACAAGGTGTTTTTGCGGCATTCCAGCGGGCGGAGAATATCCCAAAGAAACCAACTCACGAGACGAATGATGAATGAATAAATGAAAGATGGATTGGCGAACCTCTCTCAGCCCTTAATCCTTGGCGCAGAGAGAGGATCTGACAGAGGGAAAGAGACAAACCTTTTAGCTCTCAAGCTAAGGGTATCTTAAGATCCATCAACTAAAAGGGAGATCATTTACTTGAATGAGACTCCCTTTTGTTCTTTATTTGGGAGATGACAACCCTATACTCCTTTGGGCGAATACCGCCAATTTTAAGTTCATCTGGAAAGAAGTAAATTAAATGAAGGGTCACCTCCATACATACGGGAAATCCTCCGGAAGGGAAGAGGGAAATTGGCTAATTTTGAACCTAGGTCTGAAAATGAAAAACAAAAAAAGGAAAACCAGAAAAGAAAAGAAAGAGAAAAAAAAAGGAGCATGTTTGGCTGGGCACCAAGCGCGCTTGAACTCCCCTTGTGGATCAGTCACAGAGCACCAAGTGGTCTAGTCTTCTAGTTAGTCTCATACTGGATGTGGAGATGCCAATCATTTCTTCCCAGAATGGTAATTCAGGGAATCCTTAAACAAAACCCCCATTCAAAACTTCGAATATAAAAGGGAAGGGATAATCCTTTCCACCTTAAGCCATAGCAACACTTCAGCACTTCTCTGACGCAAGGACAACTGGTGAGGGATGATAGGGGACACAAGATGTAGCTAGGCTATGTTCACTATATTACAGCTGAACAGCAGCTGTATAAACAGTTGGCGCGTGTATGATAGCACTGAGCCTTCGAGCAATACTGGCGAGCTTAGGATAGGATTCTCTCTCTGAGCTCACCTGTGGTATGCAACAATTTTGAGAGCTCTGAACTAGAAATATAGGGGTTAGGGTTTTATGGCAGAAAGTACTCCGTAATTGATATTTGGTGGATTAAGGTCTATTCCTTATTTGCCAGGGCCTCCATGGAGCTCCATTTGTCAATCACATACATATACCCTTGCGTTTATGGGGATTGAACTTTATTTTCTGTGACAGAATCGTTCAGGGCTACTTTTGTATCTTGATCTATTGTCAAAATCCAACATCAATCTAACCGCTTTCCGACAGGGTCACGTGGCCATCTTTATCGCCCGAGGTGGAAACTGTTCTGGATCTTTTCCAGATTTCTCTGCTATCGAACTTTTTCAGGTCAAAGATCGACAACATTCTCTCTTCGCTCCTCTATAGCTGCTTGAAGAGGCTTTACCATGGCAGCCTTCTGTGCCAGTTCTGCTAGGCTAGCTCTACCTACCCTTCTACGCAACGTTTATCGCTCCGAGTTTGCCTCTGAGCTTCATTCCTCCCGTCCCGTCTCTCTGCGTCAGGTGTCTTACTCCCATCACCGTTTTAGCAATGGCCGGAGTTTTGCTTCTCTCTCGAGGCTACTTGCTTCTCAACCAGGATCACACGCAAACTCACAGCCATCTTCGCCACCAGCCATCACTGAATCAAGTTCAGAACAACTAGATGCCGCTAGGGACGGTTCTGTTGGTGGAGCGCCTGCAAAGGATGCAGCAGACCGTCGTGATCGGCGGCACCCAAATAAACCTGCGAGAAAGATGAAGAAGGCAAAGTTTGCATCATCATCATCATCATCATCATCATCATCATCGCAAGCAGAACCTGATGCAGCCGCTGTCAAATCCTCTCGCGATAAGAAACATGCACGCAGTGACCGTACCTCCCCGGATTACAAACCTAAGAAGAAGAAGGAGCACTGGCAAGTTCAAAAAGAAGCCTTGAAGAAGAAATTCAAGGATGGATGGAATCCATCTAAAAAGCTTTCGCCCGACGCTCTCGAGGGTATCCGCCACTTACATGCCGTAGCTCCGGACAAGTTTACGACCCCTGTCCTTGCCGAGCAATTCCAGGTATCACCGGAAGCCATCAGGCGTATTTTAAGAAGCAAATGGCGTCCTTCCGAAGCAGAAATGGAGGACCGGCGCAAGCGATGGGAGAAGCGGCATGATCGAATCTGGAGTCATCTATCGGAGCTAGGTCTCCGACCGAAAACAAAACGCACAGAGGCCTTAGACGACTCAAACATACTGTATGGTAAGGGTGAAAAAGGCAACAAACCGTCGGAGTAATCTGTTGTCGTGTTTCAGAGAATCATGAAAGCATCGTGCATATTGAAGAGACATATAATACAGCTAATAGTACATAATAACGCCCAAAATTATTATTACTATTTCTCTTCTTATTCTCTTCCTCCCTATCTCTTTTTTCGTTTATTTTTTGTTTTTATTTTTGTCTTCTTTTTCCTTTCTCCTTACCCCATGGTCTTTTGAAATTCCCGGCATTGTGCAGAATCCCTAAGTTACTAGGCTCCATAATTAATGTGTCCCTTTTGCGGAGATATGTTTTACCAAGTGATTCTTCTGTATCACGTAAAACAAGCCCTATTGTTTTTTTTAGACTAAATTCTACGGCTATAAAATAAAATAAAAACAGGATAACATAAGATTTCATCCGGGGCATTTCATAAACACCTGCATTATCAACCCCAACCGAAGCGACTAAAAAACATGGAAAAGTCCCCGTTGGACTATAAACGACGCTAACCTTAAAAAGTGTCTGACGGTTACTCTCGATTTGGCCGACAAGGTGCATGCAACGCGACTCTGGCCCGTTCATTCACGCAGTTTTCTTTTTCTTTTTCGTTTTCGTTTTCCCTTTCCCCTCGTTCTCTCGCTTACGATGGCTCATTCAATTTGACAACATGGCATAAACGGCTATTGCCAATTGCTTCCCCACCTATCTTATTCATTTACCATATCGGCGGCGTTAAACGGAGGAGAAGCGGACAACCTCTGGTGGCGGCTGTTGGTACCCACCGTTTACCCCAAGCTTCTTGCTTCCTGCTGCTTTTCTCCGCCCATATGGTCACCTTGCGACCCTCGCCATGCCGTCGGACATCCAAGTCTTTGTGAAATGGAAAGATCAAACAATATTCGCCGGTGAAGATGTGGAATGTACAATAACTTTCAAGAACGTTGTGGAGGGAAATGTGGAGAGCAACAATGGCAGACAGCTCTCACCTCAGAGGAAATCGTCTCGACCGGGCAGTAGCACGCCTCACTCGGACTCCTTCTTCTCCCTGAAATCGCCGAGGAATCTATTCTCCAACCCAAATCGCCGATCCTCCACGACCTTCTCAAGGAGAACCCCGTCCCATCGCGTTTCTTCATCGTTAAGTTCACCATTGGTCGGTTCCCATAGCTTTCCGCCTCCTTCGACACCTCGCAATGGCCCACCCCCCAGTCACAAGCATAAGCGTTCCATTTCAATATTATCAATTGATAGCGAAGGAGGTGGGGATAGGACGCCAAAAACGTCTTCCCCCTTCAACCGCTCGAGGCCAGCCAGAGGGCATGGGCGTTCTGCGAGCTTGCAGGTGGTACCGAAGCGATTCGAAGGTTATGATGACATATTTCCTAAAAGTAGGTCACTTGATTTGGCATCCGCGCTCGATATCTCGTAACTTGCACTGACAGTGACTACAACCTAGGTGGGCGTCATACCACGCGGGGTGTCCCACCTCCTGAATCTCTCATGAACGTCTCTCCACAAAATCTACGAGTCGATGTGGATGCGGCGGCCAGGGCTAGTCGCTCTAGATCCGGTACGATGAGTCCGATTAAATCAGCCGAATCGCCGCGGGGGCCTGCACGTCGACCTCAATTACCTCCAATGGATTTCAAATTCCCACCTTCCGCGAGCGACATGAGCAATCCCCGACCCGGCGCATCACCAACGATACCGGCTGGGGAGCATGGCAACGCACTAATGGTAGCAAAGCCGAATGGTAAAGAGTCCTCTGCTTTAGCTGCGCCAGGTAACCTGCCGCAGCTTACCAAGATTATGTCGACGTCGAGCTTGAGTGGAAGCCATAGAAGCAGCGGTGAATTCTACTCTGTCGGGAATAATTCCTCAGAAACCCTGCAGTCGGAATACACGAACTACTCTATGACAGTCCCACGAACACCTGTGTCTCGACACGGGCGGCACATGTCCAGCGTTGACTCTGCGGCCTGGCTGCCCAACGGCCAGACGTTGCTCATGGGATATGCCCAGATAAGTGCATCATTCACAGTGGATGGCTCACTGATCAACCAGTCGTCTTTTGAGGAAGTCAAGAGGAAAGGCGTAGTGGGTGACCAAGGGAATGCTGCCGGTATATCCAATGGACGAAGCGCCGCAAGCAGCGATAAGAATCGTAAAGGAGGTGGTTTCTGGGGCGCTTTTAAATGGAACGCAATAGAAGAGTCCATTAACGGTCTACTTTCCAACAATGAGCTTGATGGTCTACGCGATATGCGAGGTGTCACCTCATCACGATCGATACCCTTACTATCCACACCCCAGTCGCTCCTCTTCGTGGATCTCCGACTAGCACCCGGAGAAGAGCAATCCTACTCATTTTCCTTCACTTTACCCCGTGGTCTCCCAGCAAGCCACAAGGGAAAGGCCATAAAGATCTCCTATAACCTAGTCATTGGCACACAACGACCAAGTGTCCGTAATGAACCGCAGCGTGTCAACCGCATTACTATACCGTTCCGTGTATTTAGCGGCGTCGATGGTAAGTAGCTCCATGTGGCTCATTAGTTCCTCTCTATGGCGCAACTAATGTACTGTAGGTCAAGGAGATATCCTTGGCCATGACTTGATGAACCCCTATGTGCTTCTCCGAGATGAAGCTAGAGTACAGAAGGCTCGGCCGAGTCCGCCACCATCTACTAAACCCAAAAGTATCAGCGGTACCACGTGGAACTCAGCGCCTGAGTTCTTAGGCTATGTGGATGATATTCTCGAACAACGCTCCCAGGGCGCTCTTCTGCAACCCCCTGAGACTCCTCTCGAGAAGCGCCCAAGCTACGACCTGTCGTTGGGCCCGCTGTCCTGCAAGGATGCCATTGATCTTGCGATTCTGCGAAGCAACCAGGCTCTTAACTCGTCGCGCAGCCCCAATCGATTTGAGATTGCACGTAATGGGCGTCGTATTGCCGTTGTGGTGCTCAATCGACCAGCTCATCGATTAGGGGAAACTATCATGGCTGCGGTGAACTTTGCCGGTGCTGCGCTTCCCTGCTATGCAATTCGAGCCACGCTAGAGACATCGGAGAAAGTGGCTGGGTCATTAGCAGTGCGGTCTGGCGCAAGCATCCGCCGTGCTACTCGAAAAGTGCATGCTTCTTTCTTCGAAAACACCTTGTATTCCACACGAGTCGTCTTTAGCCCTGCTATCCCCATCTCTGCTACCCCTACGATCCTAACTACTGGAGTCAACCATGAGTGGGAACTACGGTTTGAATTTGTGACGCCAACCATGCACACCGACCCAGGAATCGGCCCATCTGGCGCTACGTTACTCGAAACCGTGCATGAAGACGACCGGGGACGGATTATGAATGCTTTAGAGAACATCGGGTGTGAGTCGTTTGAGATTGCGATCCCTATCACGGTATATGGGGAGACAGTCCGAGAAAGACTCCCTGAGGAGAATGAAGGATACTCTATATAAATAATTTTGCGGTGGACATGGATTGGCATGTCCCTGCGGTCTCTATCTATATGGAAGGAATTACTATGTCCCTTTCTTAATGACTCTCATAGATATCCTCCCCATGCGTGGGGCAAATAAATGTATGTATGTTATTGGCAAGACATTGTTAACGAAGCGCAATCGAGATCGTCCGGGTTTTTTCTTTTTCTTTTTTCTTTGTCTCTATTTATTTCCCCCTTGGTCTTTGATTTAAATGTAATATACAAATACAAAATAAACCATAAATCATTCCTAATAAATCCATCGAGATCTCCCTTGAATGTGGCTCCGTGGAAGGGGAGCGGTGGATGTCACCCGGGCAACCCATGGATTGACCATGACTGGTGCCTTCGGCATCCATGGAACACATGCGCTTAGAGGTTCCGCTCTGGCCAAATCGTGGAGAAAAAGGGAACCTTGATCGATGACGGAATTGAGCTTGTGTTGATCGGAGAGCTTTCGATTGCCCACCGCTTCTTGATTTTCTTAGCTGGAGACCTCTCAGCCGCACCGTCACCTGATTGAGTTAATCACAGACCCAGAGCATTTTCCGTGAAAAGTGAGATTTATCCCCCCTCCAACATCACTCACTCGCTTTACCCACGATTAACCCCTGCCTGTCCGGTTCTGGAATGTAGGCGCATTCTCGACTACCCACGCCGCGCACATCAACACTTCAACCTACCGCAACAAAGCCAAATCAGTACAGATCCAATTGCTTGGAGGTCGGAGAGCGGGGCATTTTTTTGCGCGCTTGATCTGGAGGGTCGATAAAAGAGAAAGGAAGGACCGAGAAGAGAAAGAAGAATGGCTTCATTCATCACCACCATGTCGGTTCCCATTACCCCTGTTGTTGTTTCTTCTACCACCACCACTCATACTACTCCCTTTACCCCGCCATCGTCTTCAACATCATCTCACCCGTTGCCACTCCGACTGAGTCCCTCGATTCATTACAATAATTCCCCCCTCACAGAACCTCCTTCGTACCTGTCGCCGATTGTGCGCGCGATTAAAGACGAAACATGTGGACTAACCCCTCCCAGAAATGCGCGGACACGAGCGCCGTTTAAGCCACGGTCGGCGGCCAAAGGCACGAGCAGTTACCAGTTGAGACAGTTTGCAGAGGCGACCTTGGGGAGTGGGAGTCTCAGAAAGGCTGTGATGCTTCCTGAGGGCGAGGACTTGAATGAGTGGCTAGCAGTTAATGGTGAGCTCTCGAACTTGTCGCCAATGCAATCGGGTGGTTGTCACGCGCCGCTAATACACCATCTTCGACAGTGGTGGATTTCTACAATCAGATCAACCTTCTCTATGGTTCTATTACAGAGTTTTGTTCACCACAGTCATGCCCGGAGATGAAAGCCACAGATGAGTGCGTAACCTTCCTCGGGATTGTCCGGATTACGGCTGACACGAGTGATAGATTTGAGTACCTTTGGCAAGACTCGGAGCACTTTAAGCGGCCGACGAAGATGTCTGCTCCGGAATACATTGAACACCTAATGAGCTGGGTTCAAAGTAATATTGATAATGAACAAATGTTTCCCAGCCGACTAGGTATGTCCATAGCCATTGTCTCTGAGCGACTTCGCTAATGCAAACCAGGCGTTCCGTTCCCCAAAGCCTTTACCAGCCTGATCCGTCAGATCTTCAAGCGGTTATACCGGGTATACGCACACATCTACTGTCATCATTACCCTGTCATCGTGCATCTGGGACTCGAACCGCATCTGAATACAAGCTTCAAACACTACGTATTGTTCATCGACGAACATCGGCTGGCGAGCGGGAAAGACTTCTGGGGTCCGCTGGGAGATCTGGTTGAGAGCATGTTGCGGAGTGATTAACGGAGTTGTTCGGTTGACTTGGCAAATTAAGGATCTAGATTGGGCATGGCGATGATGGTCGGTTTCCAATCAACCAATGCACTGAATGACGGCGTTTGGTGGGGGGGCAGTTTAGCATTTTGTCATTGTTGTAATTAAAAGACGGTTCCCGGAATCACAATGAGCGGCGTTGTGTTGAGTGTGTTCGGAATGAGAATCTTATCCATAGTCAAAAGTGTTTTGTAGTGTAGCCGAAAAACCCGGCGTGTGCGGATACTCACGTGACCGGCGAGAATTGTTGGACGGAACATCAACTCAACTCCATCCCAGCACGATCACCGGCCATTTGCTCCCCTCTCCGACCGACGTTCGCACCGTCTCGCATCCACTACCCTCCCTCCTCCACTCCCTCGAGGTCTTCTTAGATATCTGTCACAATGATGCCCACTCGGTTCGCCCGCGCCGGCCTGCGTGCCACCCAGCAGTTCTCCGTTCCTCGCACTGCCGCTGTCAACGGCCTGAGGACCTACGCTACCCCGGCCCAGGAGGTCAAGCCTCCTGTGTCTCTGTACGGTGTTGACGGTACCTATGCTACTGCTCTGGTATGTGCCTTGCCGATCGAGTTGGATGAGTTGGGTGGGATTGAGTTCTGTTGTGGTTTCCATTGACCCGAGGCGTTGAAAATCCCCTCAAAACCGCGTCCGAGCCATTCAGACTGCACCTCAATCCGAAGCCCCAAATCCCCCAACCACCACGTTCTAAGCTGGAACACCCGTCACTAACCAAATGACAACGAACAGTTCACTGCCTCCGCCAAGTCCGCCAACCTTGAGCAGACCTCCAAGGCCCTCTCCGTTCTCGGCGAGACCCTCAAGGCCGACCGCAAGTTGACCGGTCTCATCTCCGCTCCCACCCTGACTACCTCCGACAAGTCCCAGATCGTCCAGGAGCTCCAGAAGCTCACCGGTGACAAGGGTGACATTGTCAAGAACTTCCTCGAGACCCTCGCTGAGAACAACCGCCTGGGTCTGTTGGAGGGTGTCTGCGAGAAGTTTGCGACTCTGATGGGTGCTCACCGTGGTGAGATCGACCTCAACATCACCAGCGCTCAGGTACATCCCTCCATACTCTGCACTCCCTGTCTCCGACTGTGCGAAATCATATTGTCTTGACCCGCTACTGACAAAAAATCCCAGGAACTTGACAAGAAGACCATCAACCGCCTCGAGAAGGCCGTCTCCCAGTCCCACTTCAGCCAGGGCAAGAAGCTCAAGGTTGTCACCAAGGTACCTAGCTTTCGTCCTCCCATTCTGGTAGATCGATTTTCAATACTAACGGAACCAGGTCAACCCTGACCTCGTCGGTGGACTTGTTGTCGAGATCGGTGACCGCACCATCGACCTCAGCGTTTCCTCCAAGATCGCCAAGCTCAACAAGGCCCTCACCGATGCCCTGTAAATTAGATATACCTCTGATTCCGACCCATGTACCGTACTACTACCATGACCAGTAGTGATTATTGTTTCCTTTTCTTTTTGGACCTGAGGCATTTCGCATGACTCGATCTGAGTGATAGACAGAATTGAGTTATCCCCTTCATCCTTTGCCAATGTATCGAGAGTAGCATTTGCCCATAACCATGACATGACATGCACATATCCTATTAATCGACTCTTCGTAGCTCATACACAGTAGCCAAATCAAGGCTTCCTCTTTGGAACCACCTCCGATCAAAGCGAGCTAATTAAAGTAATACAATCTCTACCTACTACGTCAATCTCAACAGAACTCACTATCCCATCACTCAAAACCCCATTCCCTAACTGAATGAAGAGAAAGAATTATTTAACACGCCGTGAATACACTTTAGAACTATGTACAAGTCTTATCCACTGACCCAGAGAAAGCACAAAAAAGTTCCCATTGCAATCCTACCCTGGAACTACAATCACACGGGCTCACAGCTCACTAGAATACAATACCATCTTGAACCATCAGTTACACGAGCATACAATCTTCATATGTGCATGTATATATCACAGATCGCCCTGGATTGGGTACGGATACTGATGCTGATCCAACTGAAGGAGAGAGCTTATGCAGGAAGCCATATTTACAATATTGATCAAGCCATAGTCTTGGATGGGAGTTCTTATATCTGGTCTTCTTTTCTCGTCCTCTCTTTCTCTCTACTCGCTGCGGTTGGGATTGTAGGGAAGCTAGGTGGTGGTGATGTTGTTTGGGGTATGGGGTTATATATTAGAGGAAAAGGCAATTCAATGCATGGATTGGAGTTATTTTGTTGGATTATTTCTTCTCAGAATCTTTTCAAACAACCACTTGCCCTCTTTTTATCTCTCTTCATGTCTCTCTTCAAGTTTGTTTTTCTTCTGTCTATTCTCGGGCTGCTGGGATGTATTTGTTTGTTGATTGCTTGGCATGTAGCCTAATATATATATTTCTTCAGTATCGTGGCATTTCACCAACGTAGTTAGTGCAATTAAAAAGAGAAATGGCAACTGTTCATGCATAAATATCTGCATATGGCTGTCAATGTACTTGCTGCTAAACATAACTAGATGCAGGGTTCTATAACTATACGGTTCTACTACTACTTATTAGTCCATGTAAGTAATTACCTGTCAATACTCTCTTGGCATCTATCACTTCCAAATCCTGTCCATGTACCAATTCAATGCCCATTCGGCTTCCGATCGGCTTGCGTCTCAAACTCATCCTCATATGCACCCATGGACACTCGGCTTCTCACCCGCTCTAACTGACTCTCTACATAATGCGACACATGGTCGTTCACACCGTGGTCTTTCTCTTCATCGTCCACTACACTTTCTGCAGCGGTAGTGTCACCAAAGGCCGATTCGAAGTCGCTTCGGTTCCCGATGGAACGACTCGTGGACGATCGGCGGACGCTGGGTCGACGGCTGCCGCGTGGTCGGGAACGGCTAAAGATATCATCAAAGTAGTGGGATGCCGCCGCGTACGGGGAGCGAGGGGTTTGCGGAACGCGGCAGTTTATTCTGTACATATAGTTAGGCTATACTGACAGTGAAGCATTCTGGATTGGTTCACTTACCCTGTGTCATGGATGATCTTGGCAATCAAGCCAGTCCAGCCGCATTGGTGAGAAGCTCCAAGGCCCCGTCCAGTATCACCATCAAAGAATTCGTGGAACCACATGTAATCTTTCCAGTGCTCGTCGAAGTCGAGAAGGTCAGAGTTGTCGTGTACCGCTCGACGTCCTTCATCGTTACGGGCAAACAAATGCTGCAACCGGTGTTGGATTTCCTCGGCAACCTGCCCGAGATGCATATATTCCCCGGACCCTGTAGGACATTCAACCTGGAATTTATCGCCGTAAAACATGTAGAAGCGCAGCAACGACTCGACCAGCAAGAAATTGACGCACAGCCAGACCGGTCCGCGCCAGTTGCTGTTTCCGCCGAACAGAGCACTGTCCGAGTCACCAGGGACATAATTGACACGGAACTCCTGCCCATTGACCGTCATAGAATAAGGATGCTCGCCATGGTATTTAGACATGGATCGGATACCATGCTCAGACAAAAACTCGGTTTCGTCGAGCATCCTCTTTAAGATCTTTTCCAGGCGGTCTTTGCTGACCAGTGCCAAGAGGAGACGCTCGCCTTTGCCACGACGTTTCATACTGGCAATGTTGCGCTCGGCAACATCTTGTCTATTCTCAATGAACCACTCCAGTCGGCGCTTGAAAGAAGGGAATTGGTTGATCAATTCGGGCTCGAGCGTGAGGACTCCATACAACGGAATCAAGCCAACGAGGGATCTCACGGGGAGCTGTTGAGTCCAGGGTTCGCCGTAAGAAATAGCATCGTAGTAAAACCTAAGTCACATCAGAGTCTCCTCCTTTTTAATCTCGAATGTAACTCTTACCCATCCTCCTCATTCCACAGAGAAGCCTCTTCACCTCCCGACCTGAATGTCATCGCATCACTGATGAGGATGAAATGCTCGAAGAACTTGGATGCAACTGCAACCGTTAGTCAACCATTTCAAGTTCTTAATGTGCCGAGGTGCAACGTACTGTCTTCATAGATCCGCCGGTGTTTAGCCAATTCCAAGGCAATGTTGAGCATGCATAAGCAATAGAAGGCCATCCACCCAGTGCTGTCCGCTTGCTCCAAGACGCCTCCAGTGGGCAAAGGCTCGGAACGATTGAACAACCCAATATTATCCAAACCGAGGAAGCCTCCTTCGAAAACATTCTTTCCTTCCGAGTCTTTACGGTTAACCCACCACGTGAAGTTGAGGAGCAGCTTTTGGAACACCCGTTCGAGAAAGTCTAGGTCCTGCCGGCCATACATCTTCCGCTCGATCTTGAAAACCCGGAACGTCGCCCATGCGTGGACGGGAGGGTTTACATCACCAAAGTTCCATTCATATGCAGCGAGCTGTCCGTTGGGGTGCATATACCATTCTCGAGTGAGAAGATCCAGCTGCTTCTTAGCAAACTCGGGGTCAATCATCGCGAGAGGGATGCAGTGAAAAGCAGTATCCCACGCAGCGAAAAACGGATACTCCCAGGAGTCGGGCATCGAAAGAATGTCATCCATGTACAAGTGTTTCCACTGCTGGTTTCGAACATGCTTCCTGCCAGGGGGCGGTGGGATCATCGCGGGATCGCCATTTGCCCATTGATCCCAGACAAAATGATAGTACTGCTTCGTCCACATCATGCCCGCAAATGCCTGTCTCTGAATGTTTCGTAGGTCATCGCTCATGGGTAAGGGGCTGATGTGATAGTAGAAGTCATCGGCCTCCGTTATACGCTGTTCAATAGTGTCATCCAGTTCCTCCTCGTCAATGAACGGCTGGACCTTTCGGGACAGCCTGAACCGGACAACAGCACACTCGCCTGGAGGGATTTCATTACCCTCATTGAAAGCATACCAGGCAGCAAACTTAGTGCCCTTGTTCTCCGGGTTGATCGCGTCCTTTTCGCCGTTGACGATGTAGCGATGGAATGCATCCTTCACGTACGGCTGATCATTTTCAGACTTCCAGAGCAGCTCGTTATTCGTCTCATTTTCCGTGAACAGCATCTTTGGCAGGATATCCTCCTGGTTGCTTCCCGCCGCTGGGGAGGGGGAGAATCGTACATATCTTTCACCTAACTTCTTGTGGTGAGACTTGGCTGTCAGGGGGGTGACCTTTTCGATGGAAGGCTTGTGAGACTGATCCTCGTAGCCCCAGGCCCAGGTATTCCGGAACCACACATGGGGGATGATGTGCAAGGGAGCCGGCTCAGGGCCTCGGTTGTAGGCAATAACGCGAAACAGGAGTTCCTCTTCGTCATCGTCTTCCTTGGCCGTCTCAATGAAAATATCCCAGTACCGGTTGTCGTCGAAAGCGCCGGTATCTAGGATCTGGTATTCGCGGTCCAATCTCGACCGGCGCGCATTCTCGTCTCTGAGATCCTCGTAAGGAAACTTCTTCTGGGGGTATTTGTAGAGGTATTTCATGTAGGAATGCTGGAATGAAGCGGTTAGAAAGGGCCATACGGACAGCTTCCCTCTTGGATAGATTTACCGTTGGAGTGTTATCAAGGTGGAAATGAGCTTCTTTGATACTCTCTCCATGGTTTCCTTGAGGGTTTGACAAGCCAAATAGACGTTCCTTCAGAATATCGCTAGTGCAAAATGAGCCAGTGGTCGGAATTCACAACATGGGGGACATACTCCTTTTCATTCCAGAAAGCAAATGCAACGTTCTGTAGAGTATGAGTATCGGAGACACCGGCGATCCCATCTTCGCCCCAGCGATATGTTCGCGACCGCGCGTGCTCATGAGAGAAGTCTATGGCGCAAATTGGGGGTTAACGGGACATGACAGATAAGATAATGGCGGGGGGAAGAAGAGAACTTACAGCTCCACGCATCGCCATTTTCACTTTTGAATCAAGTCAATTAGTTTATTTCATAGACTTAGGTGGGCACAAAAAAAAAATTAAACATAGAAAGGAAGTTTATAGGCATTGGGAAAAAGACTTACGAATAATCCTCTCGAACTGCGGGGATCCCGAGAATGAGGTCATCAGTTTCGCGGCCCCTCATCGGAAATCAAAGCGAGAAAGAATCACGCAACGAACGCGCTGAAAAGAAAAAGCTCAGGAAGAACTTACCTGTTGCCCATTGCCTTTCGGCCACATACGGACCCCATTTTTTCCAGTAACGAATGCGCTCGCGATCTTCCTTTAATCGCTCCTCCTCCCGCGAGGTGTAGACATGCTTGTCGATCAGGACCATTCTGGCCGGGGGATTCGCCAGAGGACGATATGGGAGGAGAGATGAGAAATGAAATGAAGGAAAAAGGGAGGAGAGGGACGGGGATTGGGTGGCAAAAAAAAGAAGGAAAAAAGAGAAGAGAAACGCAGGAGGAGAAGGGAAGGGAAGAGAAAGAAAAAAGAGAAGGGGAAATATAAAGGATAAGGAAGGACGGCAGTTCCTGAACCCTGTTCCCAGAGCTGCAGTACAACTCACCAGCGATCCGATCGCTGGCTTATCAGAGGACCAGAAAGAACCGGAAACATGATTTCTTGACTTGGCCTCAACGGTCTGGACGCGTCGCTCGGACGTTCCATCAACGTTGAGGTGGGAACGGGGAGACACTAAAGGTACTAACCTTCCCTCCCGTGAACTGTAAAATTATTTTTATCTGGTGGCACCTGACATCATCATCATCATCGGTTTGTTCAAACCCTTTCCTGGTCGATATTTTTTTTTATTTCTCAACTGCCAATATATAATGTACGTCCAATTGGAAGGTGGTACCATTGGGCACAAATGAGCAATTTACTATCCAGCAGACAAAGCATACCGATCATGAGAAGCAGTGGGTGTGCTTTGCCACCTGAGATTTTTGATCAATGCAAATTTAATTAGGGCTTGTATATTTGAACCGTGGAAGATTTTAGTAACACCAGCACAGGAACAATCATATTTGACTGCGAACGATAGAGAATTCAGTTTAGACTACCATCACACTCTCCAATCATTTGGCAAATCTGAACGCTTGAAGGCAATAGATGGGGGCCGAGAGAAATAAGTCGGGAGTTGGGAGATGCAGGTGGCTTAGAATTGTCGAGATGAAAGTATTATTTTTTTATCTTGTTAAAATTCTCACCTTGGCGTAGTGTAATAAAGCTAGATACTTGCTATATGAATATTGATATAAGCTTTGTAGATTGTCTCGACATACATAGAACAAGAACCTGCGAATGTCATGAACTTTTACATCATCAAGCCTCATGGGCCCCAAATGTCTTCAAGAGGCAGCAAATGTGTGACGAACTGCTGTCGATCCTCTTAACGGTCTGAGTTTGTATAAGCTCAGACATGCTTGTATGGCTCGTATGCGCCTACCGGTGAACTCGGAGTGGGAATCTGATGCATGGGATACTGATATGATCCCTGCAAGCTGGGCGGCGACGCAAGGACCATGGGAGGTGGATAGGAGGTATCCTGCGGAGCAGTCACACCCTTCAATGGTACTGAGCGATAGCGGTACGACTGCTGGTGATCTGCCGTAATCGGCCGAGGTGTGGTGCGATGCCTGGAACAACAGCAACAGTCCAGCAACCACAACGCACTGGTCAGCAATGATAGCACCACCGCGAGCCACGTGGCGGCGTACATATGTCGACCCATGTGTCCAGTGATGCCGTACGGTTTCAATACTATACGGATTGTGGTGACGAGGGTGGCGAAGATGGCAGTGGAAGCGATAGCCATGGCCGTGGTGAAGAGGAGAGAGACCCCGGCGAGGAGCCATGCGAAGCAGCTGCCCAGGCGATTGCCTCCAACGGCGATGAGACCGGTCATGATCTCCAAGACGGTGGCTATCACAGCAATTAGATAGATGATGGCCATCCACAGCGACGCATTGCGATACATGTCTAGCGACTTTTTGAGTTTGCCAGGGAGAAAATCGTTGGTGTTGGTGCCATTGAGGCCCCAGGTGTCGATTGGGTTGAACCAGAATCCGCCTCGAGGTCTGGAGCAGTAGGTGGTGTTGTACGTTCCATTGTCTGTTATGTTGCCGGTACAGTAGCTCCAAAGTCCAATCGAAAAGAAATCATTCAACGTGGTTGTGCTGTTGACCTCGTCGAGGGCTTGGATGAACTTGTCTGAATGGGTGATATCAAAATGCTTAAGGGTGGTGTCGATCATGGACCGGGGGGTTGCCGTGAGATTTTGCAGTTCAATCTGTTCCAGATCTTAGGATGAGATTGAGTCCTACTCGTGAGGCATAGTCGACTTACACGCAAAAAGTAGAAATCCTCTGCCTTGTGAGCTCGAGTGCAGCCGATGCCAACAACGACAAGGCAGATGAGAGAACCAATTGTCAGAGCACATGGGAAACCTCTCCATACTAGTTGGCCAAATTGACCCATTTCTGATGAATCTGAAGATGAATTGGATAATCAGATCATGAAAGATGAGATTATTGGCGAGCTTTATAGCATTTGCCCTATCGTTTTTCTTTCTTCCTCTCTTTCTTCCTTTTTCCTTTTATTTTTATTATTATTTCTCTCTTTCTAGTTAGTATCCTTGACTTGCATGCTAGCCCACCTCCCTTTCTCTTTCTCTTTTTCTCTTTTTCCTTTTTCATTTTTTTTTTTTCCTTCGCCACTGACTCACTCGTTCTTAAATTGCAGCGATACTCCTGAGGTACTACGCAGACTTATAGAAGCCTTAAAACGTTTGGTAGTGGAGAAACGTGCAGATCCACTCATTTAATGCCTGAGACCCGAACACGAACTGCCCGAAGTGGAAAAGTGTGCGGTCCCTAGTGGGTCATTTATGCCCTACTATAGGTTCAACCATCAGAATACTAGTACTACGTAGTAGTCTTGCGAGGCGCAAGATCAATTGCACGACTGATAACTTTTTCTTTTTCTTTACTGTTGCCGAACGTTTCGAATGGTCCGCCCGCGATATTCGGTTCGCCTCCACTCATTTCCGCATCAGGGTCTATCGGCAAGGAAATTCGCATTCGTATTAAATTAATCCAATGCAAGCTTGACCAGATGAGGTCATACAAGTGGTAGTCTTGAATGTCCAAGTCAAGTATTTAAAGAGGAGGATTTCTGCTGTTCATCAGCGGACTCAACAGATCCTCAAATCTCTATGCTGAGTGGGTTCTCTATTCAAGATGAACATCTCATCCTGCTCGCCTGCAGCAATCCAAACCCCCACCGTCTTCGGGGCAGAGATTCTCTCCCTGTCAGCCTTGTGGGTCACCAACTACACTCTCAACGTCCCAGCTGATTTCAACTACAACCATGGTGATGTCGATGTGCGCAATGCGCAGTTCTGCAACATCACCGTCACCTACACGCACCCTGGTTACAACGACCAGATCACAGTCGAGACCTGGCTTCCGCCTCGGACCAAATGGAATGGCCGACTGCAAGCCACCGGGGGTGGCGGCTGGCAAGCCGGGCGGTTCGTGTTGTCCCAGTTCTTCATGAGCGGCGCAATCGGTGAGGGATATGCGGCGACCACCACCGATGCTGGCTTGGGGGATGGGGTCGGGCCTAGCTCGTGGGCGCTCCAAAGCCCCGGGAACATCGACTATGTGGCACTCAACAACCTGGGCTCCCGGTCCTTGAATGATCAAGCTCTCATCGGCAAGGGTCTGGTCAACAGCTTCTACGGTCGAGCGCCAGACTACGCCTACTGGAGTGGTTGTTCTCAGGGCGGTCGACAGGGTCTGATGCTAGCACAGCGGTACCCCACGGCGTACGATGGCATCGCCGCCTCGGCCCCTGCCCAATCATGGACCAAGTTTGTGTCCGCCCTGTATTATCCCCTTTTAATGCGTCAGTGGCACGGAGTCGACCCGCTGGCCTGCGAGTTGGATTTTCTGACGACCGAGGCTGTCGCCGCCTGTGACGCGAAGGACGGGATTGTGGACGGGCTCATCTCTAACCTCACGGCGTGCGACTACAGCCCGTACACCTCTGTCAATAAGACTTTCACCTGTACCACTCTGAACAAAACGATAGCGCTCAGTCCTGGTGCCGCGCTCATCGCCGATGCCGCCTGGTCAGGACCACGGACCAAGGACGGCGAGCGACTGTGGTACGGAGTGAACCCGGGGGCCAACATCAGCCAGTTCGGCTCGGTACCTGGCGTCAATGCCTCACAGTCAGACATGTGGTTCAACCTGTTCGTGGCTAAGAATGCCAGTTTTGACACTATTCACATGAGTCCTGAGGTTTATGAAGAGTTCTTCCACCTCGGCACCCAAGAATATGCCAGCACCATCAACGCGGCTGACCCAGACCTGACTGCCTTCCGGAAGGCCGGCGGGAAGCTCCTCACTTACCATGGCATGGTTCGTTGCTGACCCCCCCTTTCCTCTTCGCTTTGTAGCCCTAAGTTACCCCAAAGTTCTAACATCAACTACCCATATCACAGGCCGACGATAGTATCCCCACGAAGGGCACCGAATTCTACTACAAGTCCGTCCAAAAGCAATTCCCGGATGTACAGGACTTCTATCGCTACTTCGAGTCACCTGGGCTCGGGCATTGCTCAGGCGGGCAAGGGGGCCAGCCGACTACGATTTTCGACGCGCTGAGACGGTGGGTGGAGAACGGCACTGCTCCAGAAACCCTCCCGGTGGAATATGCCAGGCCCGAGGGTGAACCGCTGCATCGTATCATATGCCCTTATCCCGCGCAGGCCAAATATCTGGGCGGAGATATCTCGTCGACCGAGAGCTTCCGTTGTGTTTAGAGCGCATTGACACTGTCTGCCGTATCAGGGGTACAGACTATAATCGTTTAATTTCTCTTTCCTTCTTTCCTTCACTACGGACTTTTCCCCTGTACTTTTCTACCATTTCCCTATATGTCGTGGGAGAGCTTTATTCTGAATACCATCCTTTGTTGAGCATTGTGCAGAAAGCGAAGCGGCTGGAGTGGTGTAGCAAACCCAAGTTCAGTTCTGGACAGTGGAGTGGCTTCTGATCCGGCCGTATCATTATAACTTCCTACCAGTATTAGTTTGGAATGAATGATTCTATGACTTGTCAACAAAAGTAATATAATACGGAAGTATATGAGAAAGTGATTCGAATACACTGTATCGGGATCGCAGGCTTAGCGACCCATTACAACGAACTGACATGGAATGACTCCGAATGAATAATGCTCAAAAAGAGAATTGAGCCGAGCCAACCCCAACCTGGCTCATAAGCCATTGGATATACGGATGCCATCGCGGATGTCGGTTACAGTAGATACCATGCAGCTGAATTGTCGGGTTGAATTTGTGTGACGACTGTGCTGACCTGGCGCACTGCAAGGTTGAAACGACGCTCTAGTAGGCAGTCAAGTGACATAAAGCCAGCAACAACACTCCTTTCGTCCCTCATTGCTCACTCACCCTGAGTTGTCTTAAAATCTCATCCACAACCGCTGCCACGCGATGAAATTCATTCTCCCGCAAATCTTGTCTCTTTGCACCGCTGCACTCGCTGCTCTTTTCGTAATGCCTGTGGAGTTCGGGTTGACTATATACCTAGTAGCGACCGCAGTGATATTTTACTCGATTTTCAGATTCCTACAATGTTTTTGAGGAGTGGTATGTGGACTTACAAGGTTGACGCGAGAGCCGGAGATGTAGACAATACGTGTCTATTTGCTATGACGTTGACACAATGGTTAGAGGGGTCTCTTAAGTAGGATGTTGGGAATAATCTAGAAGCTCCATGACACAACTTCTCTCACAATGTTCTGTAATTTCCTATCAAGATTTGGAAGCCGCGCGAAGACCTTTTGAGAGGTGAGGAGGAGGGGAAGGGAAAGTCTCCTTCCTGCTTGGAATTTAAGAAGGCCTGCTTTGAATGTAGGCTCAAGGGTCTACTACCTGGCCATATTTGTTGGCCTAATCGATGTGCGATATCGGTGGCTAAATTGTCCTGAAGGTCACCTTCCTGAAAGGACCGAGGGATATCAACTGATGGCAGGAATCTCATGAGGGTGCTGCTGTCTCAATCCCTGGCTGTCATACGAGCACAGGCCAATGGCAGGTCGTGCTGGCGTAGTAAAGCCAAAGTTCAATAGTTTGTCCCGGTAACCAGGTACCGAAACCTAATAGTCAAAGCAACGGCGTATGGAGCTTTATCGGGTGAGCTGGCATCAGCCAATGTGTAGTGAAGGTGATTGTAGATTCATGGGAAGATTCAAGCGATTGTTCATCGAATTGAACAATTATACTAGACATGGGATGGGCAGATAGTCTGGCTCTCTCGAAGATGTCTGTACAGCGTTGATGATACTGGGAAAAGAATCTCTGTGCATTGATCCTTAAGCGTAGGCACTTCAACATCTACCTTTCCTGTAATTACCAGCTTGAGAAGCTCTACTTCTGTGGATCATAAGAGAAAAGTAACGAAAAGCCAACGTAAACAAATGTAAGTCAGAGCTCTGAAGGTAGATCTCGACATAAGTAGGAGTAATCCCAGATGGGAATGAGGGAATAAAGGGATACTTCTACCAGTATCGAGCACGTTGCGCAGGCAGATAGTAGCTATTCATTCGGGCATGGATGGCTGACTGAATAGCCAATCACTCTCCCCAGGATCATATCTACACGGTATGAAGGAAAAAAGGAAATACAAAGCCTGGAAAACTATGCTGCCGCCAATACAGAATAATAGCATGACCTCTCCATTCAAAAATAAAACCCTAAGTTACGCATGGCAAAGCTGGCATGATCATTCAACCCAGAAGCGCTTGGCCATAGCTCGTGTGGCCAAGCTACAGCTCGCAGGGTTGCAGCCAATTCATCGTGTCTTGATCCCTTTGGCTTGCTAACCCTGGATGGCAGTTGTAACTGCGAACGAAAGTCAGCTGGTGTGATATCATTGTCATCTACTCCAGAAAGCAGCGGTGAATAACCGCGAGAATGGATCTTACCAACCAGATATCGCGTCAATAAGAGTAGATAACCCAAAGTGGACATATGGACCACAAATTTTATACTGTCACAACACACCAAGGGTATCCTTCCATGTTTCCCACCCATGGATGGGGAGGCCAGTGCCCTTCAGAATAGGAGGACTGCACCGGAATATCCTGGCTCATCGGCCTCTTTAAGCATACGCAGGATTATAGACTAGAGGGTCGTATGCAGCTCATTCGGATGAGACCAGAACAGAATTACATAGGGAATAAGGTATATGAAACAATCAGAAAAGCAACGTATACAGCACGAGTTATGTGACATTACGTAGTTATCTGCGAGGTTGAAGATAGTAATAAATAACATAGATATGCAGAAATCTACATCCTGTGAGACTCTAACTGCAGGGCCTGGAACACCAAGTAGAACTAGCTTTACTCTTTCCATCCTGTGATAATTGTTAAGACGTCCTTTATATACGATAGTCGTACTTAGAGATAAGAACATATTATTAGGAAATCAGGGAGTAGAAACCGGGTCAGTGCAGTCTCCGACAAATATAAAGATGCTATAGGCTAAATCCTTAGCCACACGTTATTATCCTGGGGTGTTGTAATGAACACGAATTCTAATTGGTGCATCAATATGGTAAAGAACCAGGCTAGAAAAGTGGCTTGCCTCCGGTCCCTGAATACGAAGCTATACGACATTGCAGATCCCCCAAAATTGGGCCGCACTCTTTTACAGCGCCAGGGATAACTCACTCTTCAAGCTAAAAGTGACATTCCGGCTCTGATGCATGAACTAAATTGGACTCGTGACTGAACATGGCATATGTTGCATGTTTCTCAGCCGAGGCATCGGGATTTCTGTCGTAGTCTGTTGCTCCTTGAATGTTGTAGAAGTCGGATCGACGCTCATGTACATGATACGTATAGTGGCGGATGGTCTAATATGCTATCCGCATTCAGGATCGTGCCGTTAACTGCGGGGAAATAGGTAGAGTTGGATTCCAATCCTGGGTCGGTACTTGAAATGATCGGCAGGAGAGGCCCGTTCCATGTTCAGTCTCTGTAGAATCCACATGCAGCAATTACTCCGGATTCAAACGCGCTACAAAGATGATCTACCATGGTCTCAATCGTTTTGGATAATAGCCCGCCGTCACAGAAAGATGACCGACAGCCAGTGAGCTAAGTCCCATGTGAATCTGTTTTCGAGCGGGGGGGGGGGGGAATGATAAATACTTGGTCGTTTCTTGCTGCCTGGTTAGCACCAATATTGATTCCAATCCGACCAAGTGCGAAGATGGTACTCAAATATGTACTCATTGCTTTAGCTGTCCTCCCAGGAGGACTGGCTGGTGATATCCAGCAACTTCAATCGCGCCAGGATGATGCTGCATCGACAGCCTGCAGCAAGCTGAAGGACAAATACCCTGATATCACGTACTATAAACTCCATCCGAGGTATATTAATGCCAATACAGGTGAGGAAGAGTGTTTGCTACTTCTAGCAGAAAACACTAACCTTACCCTTTTCCAGAATACTACACATCCAGTGCATGGCTGGGGCCCGCCTGTGTCTTTGAGCCCTCAAATAGTACACAGATGGGCGATGCTGTACAGATACTGAAGGACGCTAAATCCCCCTTCGCAATTAGAGGCGGCGGACATATGCCAATCGCTAATGCAGCGAACATCAATTCGTCCGGCGTTCTGCTCTCCAGCTTTGGTCTTACCCAGCTCAGTTTGTCTGATGACCAGTCTACGGTCAATGTCGGCCCAGGAAACCGATGGTCCAATATCTATGACTATCTTGAACCGAACGGGCTGACGGTCGTTGGGGGCCGACTCGGTCACGTTGGTGTTCCTGGGTACATCCTTGGAGGTGGTGTCTCCTATTTCAGCAATGAGTATGGTTGGGCTTCCGCAAATGTTGCCAGTGTCACGGTACGCCCCACAGCCTATTGTATCCTTCATTGTCCTCCCGCACTTCCGCTGATTCATAGGAATTAGGTTGTTCTAGCAGATGGAGCAGTCGTCCAGGTGACCCCAGAGAATGAGTACTCAGATTTATTCTGGGCATTAAGGGGAGGTTCCAGTTCATTCGCCCTTGTGACAAATTTCGAACTGAAAACAATCAAAGCCCCCCAGGTAATGGTCGGTATGGCATCGTATGGATCCGACGTCGCCGAGAAGTTTATCGACGCTATACATTCGTTCACTGTGGATGGTTCGAAAGACCCTAAGGCGGCTACCATTCCAATGGCGGAATATATCCCAGCCTTAGGTACAGCTAGCTATAGCGCCATTCTCTTCTATAATGGCGAAAATGAGAGCCCTGCCGCGTTAGCGAGCTTCCTGGGTTCGGATTTAAACGCCACCACCAGTACCTTTTCCAGCCGCTCTATGAGTGACTGGTCTAAGGAGCTTGATCCAGCCCTATCGCTTCTCAAGGGCAGTAAACAGCGCTTCTATGTATTGAATATCCACGCCTCCAACAAGCAGGCGATTTCCATTGTTCATGACACTTTCATGGAAGTGGCACGCGAGGACTTGCCAGTGGGAGTATTGGTTGCAGCTTTAGCATTCCCAGCGGTTACCGAGAAATTCATCACTGCGTCTACTGTCAACGGCGGGGACCCTCAGAGCTTGGATGTCGATGGCGCGCCATACATCTGGGTGGAAGAGAGCATCACTTCTGTAGCGACCGTCAGCGACGACGATGTGGACGCATTCTATGAAAAAGCCAATGGTCAAATTGTCAAGAACCTCGAGGCCGCGGGGATCGAACTGGCCAAATTTATCTATCTAAACGATGCGAATCCCTCCCAGGATGTATTTGGCACATTCCCCCAAGAGAACCTTGAGCGACTCCAGAGCATCCGGTCTAGATATGACCCGGACAGAATATTTACCGATCTAATGCCCGGGGGGTTTAAGGTCGCGTGACATTGAAAGTTGGTCGGTTTAGAAAAGGGTTGAGAGAAACCGGTGTAGATGGTGTGATTGGCTTAATTGGATAGGACTCAAAGGTCTCCTGGAAGGGTTATGTATGGTTGGCAACTGGATATGAGTCCAAAGTAGGATTGTGCATTAATGAATTGGAAGTGGAGTTGAATATCATGTTCACACACGTGCGTTGTTGGCATGTAACATGTACGTCGTAGAGAGAGAAACCCAAGAATACAATCGAGGATCCAAGGGGTCTCATGATCGATGCAGCTATGCCTCATCTGGACTGCAGTGTGACCATCCCATCCCATTGTGGGCCACCACAACATGTGCCCGCGACATGCAGGAATTTAAATGAAACAAAACCACCTTCCATAAATACTCTTTTTTCCCCCCTCCTTCTAGTTGGGGGAAATTGTAAAAGATCAACACATCCAATACACCGACTATTCAACGGATAAAAACGATATATTAAACCACAACGAGAAAGAATCCAATCTCTTGACCCACACGTTCGAGACATGGCACATGCATACACGGACTCCACCATGTGCATCAACGTGTGTGAGAGACGCCAAAAATGCATAAGAACATCAGGTATATCAAAAGAAGGCCTGTCCCCACTCAACGGACGATTGATACAGCGCTGAAAGATGAAGAGGGGAAGGCAAATCAAATAAATCAAATTCTCCAGACATACCCGCCTTGGAAAAACAATAGAAGAGAAATATAATCCATAACCCCGTTCCTGACCCAAACGTGTCCATTGCAGCCAACTCTGGCCGGTTGTATCAAGTCATGAATTGCGTGTCTGACCGTGCTGCCGCTGTTCATCCCCGCTGGAGTAGTGGCCTGTCGTGTCCGTTGGAGATGTCGCCGATGACGCGGATTCTATGAGTGTCAAGATGATTTAGCGACATTAATTCCGCTAAAAGACACACCTGCACACAAGATAACGCCTTACCTGTCGACTGATATCCGCCGTCGCTCTGCGCTCCATTGCTCCTGGGGCCGCTTCCATCCAAGATCACGGATTTTCGTGCTTTCAAGCGTTCTTCGGTCGCGCGAATTTTCGCCTGAAGTTCTTCCAGTTCTCGGTTTTGAATCATCATTTGAAATTTCCTGGCAATAATGTTCTGCGGTTAGTCTCCCAAGTTGTCTCTATCTCGGTGCATTTCGGGGGGGGGCAAAGGCAGGAGTTCGGAACGGTTACACGGCATACCTCTCATCAACAGTCTGCTCAAGGTTGTGGACATCCGAGTCCAACGCGAAGAGACTATCTAGCGTACTGGAGAAAGCCTGTGCCATGGTCCTGCCATGTATCAGTCAGCGTCAACTTCCAGCTATCGCAAGGAGCGCAAATTGGGGGTTACGAACGACTGAGGACGACCGTTAGGTTTCCAACCCTGATCCGCGTCCGACATCTTATCCTTTTACTCGAGTATGTGGAAGCGAAGGTGTACGATGTGGCAAAGCAACCGCTGAAGAGAAGAAGGGCAAGAAGACGCTCGTTCGCTGTGTTGAGGGGAGGAAAAAGGAGTGTTCCTAGGCGCGCGCGTGCGTCAATGCACTGGTGGGTATAAGGCAAGGTTGATGTGGAACTGGAGGTACAATCCCAGAAGAATCAGAAGAGAGTCAAATCGCCGATGATTAAGGTATTAGGGTTAAAGGTATATATGATGGTGAGAAGATCATAACCAGCTGAGAGCAATCTATGGGAAAATGTAGGGGGTTTTGATCGATCGCAGGACTGAGGAGGCCGAAGATCGAAACTTGTCGCACTAATGAATGGGTAAGGGCCAAGGAGGGACCACTTTTAGTGGGTAGGTTATCAAAGCCCGGACGGGGGTGATAGGGGCAATGCACGCTCGGGGGAGGGAAGATCAGTCGGCCCAAAGAGAAGTATAAGTATTCGGTTGGGAGGAGGGGGGATCGAAGAGTATATCCACGGGCACCACGATGACGAGTCAGCCGTCTATACGAGGGGCCTCCCTGTCGTTTGGTCACCGTAAAAGAAGTTGATATTCAAACCGAAGAGACGCAAAATATGAATAGAAAAAAAAAAAAGATGTTGTGAGAGTAATACTAGTGACTCAACTAATAAAATGAGGAGGTTTAGGTAAGGCCAGTTAGTCGGGTCAATAGTCACAGGGCTCTCCACCAGACTCCATCGTAATGGAAATATCATGAAAATCTAAATAAAATCCAGTAATAATACCAGGATTTAAGATCCAATCAATTCTACCCTCAATCACAATCAAAGGGTTGCCCGACTAGCGGAACGTTTGCAATTAAAGTCTTACACCGAGCAAGGAGCCAAAGGTACTAAAAAGTCAATGACGCAGATACTTCGAAGACTCCTAACACATTCATTCAAATGCCAAGGCACGTTAAGTATAGTCCTCATGGCGATATGTAATAGCGTTAGTGTTGTGCTGGGTGTACAGAAGTACGAGAACGTAAGAACATAAGGACCCCGACTGGATGATGACGCTGCTCATGGGCGGGGGGAAACCTCCTGAATCCATGGAGGCTGAAGAATCATGAGTGTCCGCCCACCAGTAAGAAAGAGCCAGAAAGGGGCTAATGTTGATATTTTTTTTTCTTTTTTATATTCGGCCTTGCCCCTGACAGCGTGGGGTTCGTGGTTGGTAGTAATGTATTGTATTGATGTACTGTGTTGTCAGTATAGTACTACTACTCTTTGTATAGTTGGTACATATCATTCTCGTTAATAGCTTGGCAGTTAACGGTTCATGGGCAATTTCCGATGCTCGTTGGAGTCTAGAATTCTCCGCGAGGGAGTTAATTTGAAGAGTGTTATCTTACATCTCATATTGACTTTGGAATGTACCTACTATTGTACATAGTAACCTGGTGCATGCTTCAACTCCTTGGGTATCGTTACTATGTATTACCATTGTAGTCAAGGCCCCCCAGCAACCGGAAAATGGCTGTCGTCATTGTGCATGAGTAGCAGGTAATACGGATCCATACAACTGGGCACTGATGCCCCATACGGTACCATAACCCATAACATCACCTTGGCGGGCGATCCCCTTTTCCTCACGTGATCTCCATCATGGGCAGGGAAAGGTTGGTCTCTTCGATTCTCTTTCCGTCGGGGTAGGCAGACGACCACCAAGTGAACGATTTGAGCTCATCAGAACAAACACTCACTAACCCTTCCCATCCCCAGTTCCCCCTTCCTATCGTCTACCTGTCATCTTCCCTCCCCCATCCGGATTTTCATCCTTTTCATCCGACCCGCGCCCGTAATTTTATTGTCTCAAATTTCTACGATTTTTCTGAAATTTTTTTGAAGCCCTCGAAATCCTGTGGATGTGACACGGTCGCGTTTTGCTCCTGGATTTAATTTTTCTGTTCCCTGTTCCCGTTTTCGGCCTTTGTTCCATTTTTCTGCGCAGATGGTCTGACCGGTTCCACGTAATTCTCCGATCACCTGCTTTTGCCCGTTCCTCAGGCCTGGATCTGGACCTCGGACCTGGACCACTACTGTGTTGTTCTTGATCCATTGGTTGCCCCAATCTGAGCTCTCTGACGGGCCAACCATCGTACAACCTTTATCACCGTGGCCCCCATCCCTAGATCCTCTCCCCCCAGTGGCCGATCAAACGGGCAATGGGGGATGCCTCCTCTGTCGGCCTACACTCCTTTTGAATCGCTCCTCTTCTTTCAATCCCTCGCTGCCCTAGATAGCCGCCCCACCAATTTCGTCTCCATCTCCGATCTACTGCGCAACAACCCGTTTATCCGTCAGAATGGTGCCTTCGATGCGGGGCGGCTTGCCCCGGAGGCTCTCGAGGAATTGTATACGACCCTGATGCGGGATGGTGGAAACTCCGCTGACATCATCTCCTCCCCCGAACCCAACGGCCATCATGTGGAAGGCAACAGTGCTAACCCCAAGAAACGGAAGATTACGAGTCCGCGGCCGGATGGGTTTGTCGATAAGGGAATAAGCCATGCTGCGATCATACCGGACCTGGTTTCGCACCTGTATGCCCGATACAAAGAGCTTGTTACCAGGGAAATTAGGAATGAGGAGGTCCGGTATAAAGATATCAAGGATGAGATCGAGCGACTACAGGAGGAGCGCGAAACACCCAAAGAGCCTGTGCCTCCACCAGTTGTCCAGGAACCTACGCCGCAAGCGCCCCAACCGAAACTCGAATCTGAACCAGAGCCGATGGATGTGGACGCCAAGGAAGAGAGGCCTGCTCAAACACAACTAAAGGATGCGAATAAGATTTCTATAGAACGAGCGCCCGGAATTGATACCAAGCAACCCCGAGTGGAACCGCAAGGCAAAGAGGTGGATATCGCGAAACAATCTCCGTTGTCAACGCCGCATCCAACACCAGTGGAGGAGCAACGTGTTCCCGCACAACCGGTTGGACAACCTCAGATAAGACCGGTGTCCCCGCAAGTCCAGTCGCAAGTGCCTTCGCCGCCACAACCGCCGCAGCAACAGCCCTCTGGTCCTCAGCCCATACCACAGACAACTCCGAAACCACCTCAACCACAGGCCGTCAATGGAAAGCCAGTCGCAACACCCAAGCAACATCCTCTGGCGCCCCGAGATACTTCTATCAGTCAAGCTCTGACGAATGTTCCCGCAGTACAGAAGCCTATACCCCCGCCCGCTACCCCAGTTCCGGGCATTGGCTCTGTATTCGCTCCGCCAGCAACTCCCTCGCAAGCCTCGCAAAATGCAAATGCCCCAGCTATTTCTCCCGCCCCTCACAAACCAGTTTCCACCAGCAAACCAGCTAGCAAAGAAGGCCCACCAAAGACTCCAGCTACTACGGCTCCTCGCCCTCCACCTCAACCGAGTTTCCAGCAGTGGTCGTTGAACCCACCCCCTCAGACACCACGACCCGCCTCTTCGCACCCAATCCCAGAACCTTCTGGTCAGACCACTACTGAGAAACCTTTACCCTCGCATCCGCCTCAACCATTACCGAAGCCAGAGATAAAAGCGGCGTACCAGACACCTCAACCAACAACCGTACCATCCACTCCGCGACCCATCGCTGCTGTGGCGCAGTCGCCAGCACCTGGCGGTTATGGTACTGGCTATGAGACGCCAGCTGGTGCTGCACAAGCTTTGTTGTACTCGGAATCCAGGGGTGCGCGCCCGCGTCTAACTATTGCCACTCCCGGCACTCTTACCCCTTGGAAGAAGACTCCTCGACTGAGCATACCACAATCTCCTCGTTCGCCAGAACGGCCGCGACGGGAGGATGTAAGTCCCATCAGCGAGAAGGCCCCTTCATTAATGGGGTCTCGCGAAGTGACACCGGAGGAACCTGTGCCTCCACCTCGGAAGCGTGGACGGAATGATGGAAAGGGCTCTGGGCGAGGCAGAGATCCAGAACTGGGAGGGGCTGATGTGGATGGCAAGGGAGGTCTGAAGCCGAAGGCAGAGAAGCAGACCGGCAAAGGCCGCGATAGGAGTGCAGCTTCGTCTAGAAGTCGGGGGCGTTCTGTATTGTCTCGCGATGAGGAGTCTGAATCTGTATACCCTGGAAAGATTAAACATGAGATGCCCAGCACGCCAGCTGGAATCTCGGAGGCTGCTGAACCTGAACCCCGTCCTTCTAGTGGTCGCAAAGGTACTGCTGCTTCAGAGGACCGCCCGGGTCGAGGCAGACCGAAACGTAAGCGCGGTGCCAGTGAAGCGTTGGAAGCAGAAACCCTGCCTCCGGAGATTAACCACATCAGCCGCATTGACCCGAATCAATCGACATCTTATGTTCTCTGCGCTCGTAACTTTCCTAGAACGGGTGCTCCGATCATGAATGATGTGACTACTCATAAACACGCTTCAATATTTACCAAGCCATTGACCGAACGCGATGCCCCGGGGTATCGAGATCTCATCTACCGGCCACAGGATCTCAAGTCCATCAAATCATCCATTCATCAAGGCAGCAAAGCCGTGGCTGCTGCTACAGAGGCCGCAAACACGCCCGCCGCGGACGGTGAATCTCCAGCCCCGAATGCCGGAACACCATCTAAGAATGCGGTTCTCATGCTGCAGAAGACCGAAGACGTTATTCCTCCCAAAGGAATAGTCAACTCGGCACAGCTGGAGAAGGAATTAATCCGTATGTTCACTAATGCCGTCATGTTCAATCCCCTCCCTCAGCGCGGATTTGGACCCGCCTTTCCGATGACTAGCGACAGCGGGTCGAGAGAGAGCACCCAAGTTCCGGAATTAGACGAAGGAGGTATCATCAACGACACAATAGAAATGTTCGAAGATGTCGAGCAGGCGGTCACGCGATGGCGCGCGGCCGAACGAACTGCCGATGAACTGGCAAGCAAGAGCATTCTGTCGCTTCGCCGGGGAAGCGCAAGTGATTTTAACACGGATAGCGCCGACGAAGTTAAGGGATGATGAAATGTCGCTGTAACGATTCAGGATATTGTATGTAATACTAGTAACTATTCAGGAAGAAACATACTTTCTGCCACTTGTTTATCTGGCCCTCGGGACGGCCATGTGGTGATGTAAGATATTCTAAACAATACAACAAGCTTCTATATATGGCGACTTTTATACGTTATTCATATGGACATGTCATGCAAAATCATAATGCCGAGCGTGGTATCTTATATCATGACCACAATTTTTTTTTCAACAACCTTTCTTTTTCTTTTCGTCTTGCCTTTAGGCAGCGCCAGGGATCGCCTGGCCAGGCTTCGTCCTTCCAAGGCCTTCCTTAGCATAAAAGTCCATCGGATAGACGCCCTTGTTGGCAGTATCCCAGCTCTCCCTCGCTCCCAAAGCAATCAACGCCTCATATGGCGTCAACAGTGGTCGCGGGAATGCATAACCCCAGTCAATACTCAATCTCGGACAAGCAATCTGCACCCAGCACTCAACGTCTGACATGGACGCCAACTTTCCTGGAAAGATCTCGCTGAGAAGCAAATTGACGAACGGAATTCCGCGCTCATTAAGGTGGTTCTCAATCATAGCCATGGTATTGGGGTTACCCTGTCGACCGAGAGATCCGAGAATGAGGCCCCATTTTTTGGCAGACTTGGCGGTTTTGATTGCGTCGCGGCGGAGGGTGTGCATTTCATCGTGTACGTATGTTTCACGGGAGAGAATGCGCGAGTAAGGGTCGTAGCGGTAGGCGGGGATAGAGGGGTTGTGAATCATGGCGGACTCAAGGTGGAAACGGCCATCGCCGAGGTAAAGAAGGAGATCGATCTCGTCGGAGGAGAGTTGAGGGGATGTGCAGCCTAGGATTTCGCCTTTAGATAAGGGGGTGATTTGTGGGATGACGACTTTGTAGCCTGCGCGCTCGAGGACGGGTTTCAGGCCGTGGAGAGTGGCGTTGAATTGGATGGTTCCGACGGTTGCGATGGTCTTGCCTGGTTGGAAGTTGCGCTCTAGAGTTGCGATCAGGTGTGAGGTGTCGATGCTGATGTCGACGAAGATGTAGAGGGTCTTGATCTGCGTGACGTCTACTGGGATGAGACAACTGTGGGCGTAGTGAACGAGGAGGTCGCAGCCCAGGGCGCGCGCGGTATAATCGTCGATGCAGCAGGCGCCGTATGTAACGTCTCCCATGATGAGGGTTTCTGTGCCTGGGCAAAACTGCGTGATGATGTCGGAGATGGTGGTCGCGAAGATTAGTAAACCCTCTGGGAATTGTAGGGCTATTCTTTTTGCGCCAGATGAGCGTATCCGGTGGATTGTCTTGGGGATTTCGAATGAGTAGTTCTTGGGCAGGAGCTCGATTGCAGCCTGGATTTCGGGGTCTTCAAGGATTTCCGGCGGGACTTGATTTAATGTTCGAGGAGTCCTTCTGGGAGCAGCTTGAGGGGCTTGTCAGTTAATGTTTCGAGATAATTAGGAGCAAGGAAATTATGTCACCAACCTCTCTGAATGCTTGTCGACTCGACATCATTTTGGCTCGACGACTGTTCCTTTTGTGCTTGGGCGTCCGCTGTTCGTCTTCCGACGAATCTTTTCTTGGGCTGTCGCAAAGTACTATTGGCGGGCGATTCATTTGCCGCTGTTTCCTCCATTTTGTCTTCGCCCAATTGTGGCACTCCGTGTGTATGTGCGTGGGACAATCTGGAAGTGGGATGAAATTCGATGGATAATTAATTAACTTGCAGAATTTAGTCTAGTCGGCCTGACTAAGGAAAGTGGCGTGGATCGAGTTTAGTTTGAGGTCAGGTGGGGGTTTCCGCCGACTCTAACCCGTGGTCGCTTCTCCGCATTTCGTCGGTTGATCTCCAACAGCTCTCTGATCGGATGATTCCTCTGCTTTCCTGTTCTTCCCCAGTTCCCTGTTTGTCATTGTCCTCTAGGCAATATTTTCTTCCCTTCTAACCTATCGACCTGTTACTTCCATAATGATGAAATTTCGACCCAGACTCAGCCTATTCACTGCCCTTCGAGCTGCTCCACCCACTCGACGCTTTGCGACAGAGGCGCGGTTAACTTCGGACCATGTTCGCATTGTCGAAGTAGGGGCACGAGATGGATTGCAAAATGAGAAGAAGTCCATACCACTCGAAACCAAGCTTCAGTTAATTGAGAAGCTATCAAAAACCGGTGTGACAACAATTGAAGCTGGATCTTTTGTTCCTGCCAAATGGGTGCCTCAGGTATATATTCCCAGCTCTTGGACGTATGCTCGGCCTTCTTGACTGGATGTGAAACGGTTGGCATTTTTATTCAAACCATACCGAACTAATGTTATTTCTCATCAATTAGATGGCAAGCACTGCGGAAATATGTGAAAAGCTCCTCACATCCCCACCGCAATCGCAGAATGCTATTGCGTACAACTACTTGGTCCCTAATATCAAGGGGCTTGAAAATCTTGTCAAAATCATGGATACTGCCGGTGTCCCTGCAGAGAATACCAAGTCATCAACCTCAACTGAGATTTCACTCTTCGCTGCGGCGACGGAAGCTTTTTCCAAAGCAAATACCAATTGCACCATTGCAGAGTCGTTGGAACGCATTCGCCCCATTGTAGAATTGGCCAAAACGAAAAACATCAGGGTTAGAGGATATGTTTCCGTCGCCCTGGGCTGTCCGTACGAAGGCCCTGATGTTCCGCCGTCAAAGGTGGCTGACATCACGGCCACACTACTCGAGATGGGTGCCGATGAAGTGTCAGTAGCTGACACCACGGGTATGGGTACAGCCCCACGTACGATGGAGCTCCTACAGGCGCTCAAAGCTGCAGGCATCGCGAACAACGATCTCGCGTTACATTTCCATGATACATACGGACAGGCCCTGGTAAATACCGTCGTGGGACTGGAGCATGGTATTCGGATTTTCGACAGTAGTGTGGGCGGACTCGGCGGCTGCCCCTACTCCAAGGGCGCCACTGGCAATATCTCGACAGAAGACCTGGTTCACACGCTTCATAGTCTTGGAATGCACACGGGAATCAATCTAGAGGAGATGGCTAAGATCGGCGGTTGGATCAGCGGCGAGCTGGATCGGTTCAACGAAAGTAGGGCTGGGAAAGCAACCCTTGCAAGGATTCAAGAATGAGGACCGGTATTCTGCAGGAAGAACCCGAATATCTTCGTTGACTAAGCATGTGTCTGGGGAACTGTCATTTTTTGTCATCCTGTAAACCATATGCTGCACGTTGCCCCCGAGCTCCGCTGCTCATACAAATACCGTGTCTCCGCTATACATACAATGTTAATATAGCTTCCCAGTCTTTGAATTATAGCACGAATGGTCTGATTCGAATGACTTGAGCGTCAATCAAGTTGTATGGTCTTGAATGTCCCCGGCACTCTTAGGTCGCAGCCGTAAACTTTGTCCAGCACAGATCATCTATCTTGGTATACGACTAAACAAGCCCCCCTAAGCTCCCTTGACATTTGATCTACTGTAGTATCCAATAGCTAAATGTGACCGGCAACACCTTGTTACTTTGCCGACGATATTGTACATTTGTCTGAGGAGCATCACAAAGTAACAAGAAACTATGAGCGGAGAGGCTTCCGTAGCCTATCTGGCCCGTTCAAATATATATACATTTGCTATCATGGTACCCAACGCCGACTGATGCAATGACCGAAATCCACAACTTCTGCAAATTCAACTAATTCTTCGCCGACAACGCATCGATACGATATATCACCTCCGCCACCTAAAAATCAGTGACGCGACCTCCATAGCTCCAGTCACCCTCAGCACCCCAACGCAGTGGCTCGTTCTTCGGCCCACCGACCTCACCTGTCTTAGGATTCTGTTCGCCCTCAAATTCAGGCTGAAGGCCGCCTCGCAGATCTGGGTGAAGTTCCTCCCCGTTTCCTGATGCCTTAAACTCGGGATTTTCGTTGGCCGGTTCGGAGTGGGGTGACTGGTTAATTTGGGGGGTCGTCCGTGGGGTACTGAAGGCGCCAGTAGATTTCTTTTGAAGTTCTTCGAAGATCTCTTGTTCTTCCTTGGGTAGACGGGGAGGAGCTGGGCCGCGTCCAAATGCGAAGGCGGGTTTGTCGTCGGCACTGCGGAGAACCGGATGGCTCGAGAAGGCCCGGGTGGAGATGCGCAGTGTCTTGACGGGACTCAAAACCCGGCGAGTAGCGAGTGAGAAAGCCATCCTGGGGAGTGGGAATATTTTTCTTTTGCAAGGTGCTGGGACGGCCACGAGTGGGGTGGAACAATTGTAGTCAAAGGTGACTTCAGAAGAGAGTCAGAGTCAGTTACCTTAGGTAAATGATTTTAATTGCGGAGTGGCGGAGAGCAAATCATAATACAATCTCTGATCAGATAAGCCGCTTGTTCATTTATGGGTTTCCCGATATCGCGGGATTTGTTTGACCCGTACATTTTGGACCTTTCGTTTTTCTCTCCTTTCGGTGACTCACCGAAACTCTCTCTGTTCTTCTTAAATACCCCCTTCTCAGTCTCAATTGCTCGTATCCATTCCTATTTCATTCCCATTTACTTCCATCCGAATGGCCTTCGTACGTGTGGCCTCGCGGCGACTGCCGCTCGCAAGGAAGCTGGTCCCTGCAATTGAGTCACCGCTTCAGCGACGATTCGCATCCGCTGCGACTGGCCCAAATGTGAAGAATCAGGCGAAGGTATGCTGAGGCCTGGTGGTACCTGCTATACAAAACTAACAAAGCTTGTGATAGTCATCTCTGCCCAATCCCGACCCGGCTGCCGATTCCGCAACAATGGCCTTCGTGGAAGACCGAGCGCCCTTCATGGTCCCCACCTACGTTCGCCCTGCTCCGACGATGGTAAAAGGTCAAGGATGCTACTTGTGGGATATGGAGAATAGGCGGTACCTTGACCTCACAGCGGGAATTGCCGTGAACTCCCTGGGTCACTGTGACCCCGAGATCGCACAGATTATTGCTGAGCAGGTGTGTATATGCCACGACGGGATATGATATAGGATCACTTGTTGATTCAGGACCAATTTGCTTTAGGCCGAGACACTCATCCACGCCTCGAACCTTTACCACAATGCATGGACCGGCGCTCTCAGCAAGTTGCTGATCACGAAGACACGGGAGTCTGGCGCCATGCGCGATGCATCCCAGGTGTTCATTTCCAACTCGGGAACAGAGGCGAACGAGGCGGCTATTAAGTTTGCTCGTAAGGTCGGCAAGTCTCTTGACCCCTCGGGCGCAAAGCATGAATTTGTTTCCTTCCACAACTCGTTCCATGGCCGCACGATGGGCGCTCTCTCCGCTACCCCCAACCCCAAGTATCAGACACCTTTCTCCCCCATGATCCCGGGCTTCAAATACGGAAACTACAACGATGTAGAACAACTTCAGGCCCTTATCACGGACAAGACTTGCGGTGTGATTGTAGAGCCAATCCAGGGCGAGGGTGGTGTCAACGTTGCTACTCCCGAGTTCCTCGTAGCTCTCCGCAAGCGTTGCGACGAGGTCGGGGCCGTTTTGATTTTCGATGAGATTCAGTGTGGTCTTTCTCGTACCGGTACCTTCTGGGCTCATGCTCACCCTTCCCTTGCCCCTGCCTCGGGCGAAGCTGCGCACCCAGATATCCTGACCTCGGCTAAGGCGCTGGGTAACGGAGTCCCTATCGGCGCGACTATCGTCTCCGGAAAGACTGTTGCGGAGCATATCAAGGCTGGCGACCACGGAACAACCTTCGGCGGTAACCCATTGGTATGCCGCGTGGCACACCACATTGTTGAGCGCCTCGCAACGTCGGAACTGCAGAACTCCGTGGAGATCAAATCGGCGGGACTCATTTCGGGACTTAAGGCCCTCCAGAAGAAGTACCCTGGTGTCATCTCGGAGATCCGCGGTCGCGGTTTGATCTTGGGAGCCCAGCTCTCCCAGGACTTCACATCCAAGGCATCGGACTTGATCACTGCCGCGCGGGAACGCGGTTTATTGATCATCACTGCTGGTGATGGCTGCCTCCGTTTTGTTCCTCCTCTGACTATCACCGAGGATCAGATTAAGACAGCCTTGAAGATCTTGGAGCAGGCTCTGGATGCCGTCATAACCAAGGCATAGATGATAGAGTATTATTTCGTGCAAAAAACTTTCGACATTTGAGTATACAAATCACATTCAGTGTGACTGATGAATGTTAGCTGTTCATATACCATGTGCTCCTTCTGTGTTTTCTTCTTTTCTTTTCGGGTAATGATAGAAAGCAGCTAGCTCGATGCACTTTGAATATAGACTGTGGGAGATCCAGAAGCATTTGAATTACCCGGCACGTTGGTAAAAAGATCCTAAGGCAGAGACTCCAGGCCGTAAGGCATCCGTGCTATGATAGCGGCCCGTCACGCGCTCACTTGCCATCCTTATCAATTGGCGGGCAGACCGCCTCCCGTCACCTTGACACTCTTTCCATTTGACATCTTAAGGAGCTGACTACCAGTGTGCAATCCAGCAGTGATGCGGATCCCATCTCCATATCAAACTTGATGGCCTGTATTCTCTTTTACTCCGCTTAGTAGAGTACTGACCAATCTTCAATCCAATTCCTGTCGCGCCTTTTGCTGTTATGCCTAGAATCCCTGCATCAGAGGAAACACCAATGTTACCTCTCCCTGGAGCCCCTTCTTCCTCCTGGGCTAGATTCCGAGAGCGACTAAGTGCTTTATTCAGTGGCGCTGACCCCAGGGTCTGCGTTGCATTCTGGCTGTTTGGTGAGCCATTGGCACTTAAGTAGACCAAGGAGCAGAATATATATTTACTAACCTGCTGTGTTTACCCGTTTGAGAGATTAGGCTTGATCAACAATGTTCTTTATGTCATCATCTTATCAGCTGCTCTTGACTTAGTCGGTCCTGGTGTGCCCAAAGGCGTCGTTCTTCTCGCGGATGTCATCCCTTCTTTTGGGACTAAGCTCATCGCGCCGTACTTTATCCATGTAGTACCATATTCGGTACGGGTGGTGGTATTCGTCCTCCTCTCCGCCATCGGAATGCTTCTTGTTGCGTTGAGCCCTGGCTACACGGATGGTGGCACGATGTCCACTAAGATTGCCGGGATTATTCTAGCCAGTGTATCTAGCGGAGGTGGTGAATTAAGTTTCCTCGGGTTGACACACTTCTACGGCCCATTTAGTCTGGCAGCCTGGGGAAGCGGGACTGGAGCTGCGGGGCTGGTTGGTGCTGGTGCTTATGCACTAGCGACTACGTCCTTCGGCCTCAGTGTGAAGACGACCCTCCTGGCATCCGCTTGTTTACCAGCAGTCATGGTGGTGAGCTTCTTTACCATCCTGCCGAGATCCCCTATGCACCATCCTCTGTCGGCCGTACAAGCCGGCTATCGCGCTGTCGGAACCCGAGATAGACTTGCGGAAGAACGTGCGTTTGGTGACGAGCGTGATGAAGCCAATAGTGACGTTGATGGCCTTCTCGCTTCTTCCATACATTCCGTTGAGAATCCGAAAGCAACTTTGACTGAGAGTGGAAGTCTCCGATGGCAGCATATTAAAGCAAATCTGTATCGCGCAAGAGGGCTTTTCTTCCCTTTGTAAGCACACCTCGGAACAAAACGATTGAGACGTGTTTTTTGCTCACAGGTGTTCTACTTAGTATGCTTCCATTACTGTTGGTCTACGTCGCAGAGTATACCATCAATCAGGGAGTGGCCCCCACCCTACTCTTCCCGCTGACCGAGACTCCTTTCGCCCATTTCCGTGCGTTCTACCCTGCGTATAATGCGATTTATCAGGTCGGCGTGTTCATCTCACGTTCGTCGACCCCCTTCTTCCGCATCCATGATCTCTATTTTCCATCATGCTTACAGCTTGTGAATCTGGTTATTTTGACTCTTCATTCTTTGTTCAACTTCATTCCTAGCGTGTACATTATCTTCGCGATCATTTTCTGGGAGGGGCTCCTCGGTGGCTTGGTTTATGTCAACACGTTCGCTGAGATTGGGGAGCGTGTACCCCAAGAGGATCGGGAATTTTCTCTAGGCGCAACAACCGTCAGCGACTCCGGGGGGATCTGTATCGCGGGCTTCGTCAGTATGATCTTTGAGGTTTGGTTGTGTGACTGGCAAGATGCGCACGGAAGGGACTTTTGCCGTAAGCTATAGTTAATTTTGGGTTTTAGATTATTACTACTTCGTATATGATAATATATGGTCAAGCTTATACAACTTGAACCGGGGATAAGCCCGTGTAAGCGATCAATGTGAGATAGGGCTGAAGACGGGTCACTTGACTGCTGCCAGGTATGATGAGTCGGTGATGGCGTCACGGGGCTAACATGTGACAGGGCGGCAACGTGACAAGACAGGATCCCCCTTCCAGACATGGAGAACCCTAAATGATCGTCTTCCAGTATTCTGGTCGATCAATACTTCTGGCGACTTGCCCCGGATCACTCGACCAACTATTTCTAAGCCCCCCATTCTTCTGCCCCAATCAGCACTGTGGGGAGTAGTGGGGACTTTCACATGCTTGACCCCGTCATCCGCCAGCTTATATCCATGGGTTCTTCACGCCAGGGGAGTCCTAACCTGAATGTAATCTTTCATCTTTCTTCACTCTTGCTTGTTTACTTTTGCAGTTGTCTAGACTGTGCAGTCTTTGACTGACACCCTCCTTCAGTTCTTCCTTGGTATCTCCCATCTCGGCTTTCTGAAATTTCTTTGTCCAGTGGCATACCATGGCATACGATTGGGTTGAAATTTGACTGCAGAAAAACACGCATTCTCTTCTTGTCTCTGTATACACTGTTTGTTTATATATGAGAGACACCAATCTTTAAACCATTGCTCCTGCCACTATCCGTGCCGGTGATCTCGTATCCCTGTATTAGACCATCCAACCAACTTGCATATTGCCGAGGAAACCGGCCAAAACGGAAAGATAAGCCCTTTCGCTATCCAGTGAGCTCGTGGAAATGATAGGTAAGCTCTGTCATGGCACCAATGAACTCAGCAGCCACTGATGGAAACTTCAGACCATGTGCTAGGAAGACCATCGACCAAATTCCGCAAAATCCAGGTCCTTGCCGTCTTCCTCTTCTGGTCAACATATCTCCTAAGGTATGCTGCTCGAACAGGTGGTCATGGCTGGGTAGTCCGTAGCTAAATAGTGTCGTGCAGAGGAAACAAACATGGCCCTCCTATCGTTCGCAACGTCTCATCTCGCCTGTCAGCAAAGCTAAGCGTTTGGCAAACTACTGTGGGTGTTTTTCTGTGGTTATATTTCTGCCGGAACTTTGCAAAAATTGTAGGTTTAGAATGTCCGGAACCACTGGCCAATTTATATTCGCGCTCCTTCTTCAGGGCAACATGGATCACCACGGCCCTCGACGCTGGCTTCTGGACCGCAATGAAAGTCAAACCTAAGTGGCTACGAGACATCGCGTCCTTGGTGTTTACAGTTTACTATCTTTTTGCCGCGGAACAGGCAGATGAAAAGGTTCGTCGGGTTCGAGCAACCCTGACCGTAGAACACCTGCGAGTCTCTTGGAACAAAGGTACTACACCGTACTTGTGGGCACTCGCGAGTCTGGTCCGGCCCCGACTTACAAAATATCCGCCTCGTGCGATACGGATTCCTCGCCCCCCACAGTCAAGCTATACAGAGCCAACTAATGCGTGGCTTTACTTCGATGGTCCCCTGAGTGCGTTACGGGACCAAACCTGTATTATCTTGGATATCCCTGGGGGCGGATATGTCGCCATGAGCCCCCGAGCTTCAGAAGATCGACTGCTTGCCTGGTCTGGGAAAACAAAGGTCCCGATCCTTAGTCTTGATTACAAAAAGGCGCCAGAATATCCCTACCCGTACGCTCTCAATGAATGTTATGACGTCTACCATACTATCGTCACCACGCGAGGACGTTGCTTGGGGTTAAGCGGGAATGTGCGGCCACGTATTGTGCTTTCAGGAGATAGTGCCGGTGGAAATCTGGCAGTGGGCACTACGTTGATGGCCCTTCAATCCGGAAGCTCAGATTCTCCCCGTTGGCAAGGCGAACACATACTCCCTCGTCCAGATGGGCTCGTTTTAGCATATCCAGCGTTGAACATGAGAGTGGAAAGCTGGATGACGGAGGAGCAAATGTCACTGATACAAGACAAGAGCGCACGCCGGACGAACGAGAATGTCCTACGGCAAAAAAACATGGACTACCAGCGTTTGACGCCCTTCACATCTCCCGGACCTTCTACAGAAGATCTTCTCCGCGACTCATCCTCTGACCTGGACCTCGAAGCCGACGATGTAGCCCAGGGTGCTTCCAAAAAACTTGAAGAAAAGCTGAAGGCAGACAACCTGGCGACTCAGGCAGCTGCCGTTGCGCAGAGCCACCACCCGAAACAAATCCGTACACGTCTGGCCGTTTCCTCAATGATCTCATACGTCCACGATCGGATCCTGACCCCTGAGATGATGAGGGCAATGATTATCCTGTATATCGGACCTCACAATCGTCCCGACTTCAGTACGGACTTCCTGCTCTCCCCCGTGCTAGCCCCAGAGGCCCTTCTCGCACGGTTCCCAAAGACATACATTGTCACAGGCGAGCGTGATCCCCTGGTTGATGACACCGTAATATTCGCTGGGAGACTGCGACAAGCCAAGTTACATCAATTCCGGGAAAGACAAGAGTTGGGTCTTGAGAAATCTCACCGAACATTCAACGAAAAGGACCACGTGGAGGTGTCATTACTCCCAGGGATCTCCCACGGATTCCTGCAAATGGCGGGCTTCTTCCCTGACAGCTGGAAACATATCAACAAGTGCGCGACATGGATCCAGGACTTGTTCGAGGCCGCCGAGAGAAGGAAGTCATCGTCCAGTTTACTCCAGTCACTCCACAACGGCGGACAGTACTACCAGGTTCCGAAGGTGGACGCTAGTAGCGGTAGCCCACGCAATCATAAGCGAAGCCTGACGGGGGAATCGTCTGGCGATGAGGATAGACCCTTAGAGATGAGCCTCGGCAAGATGACACCATTGAACCCGGATAATTCCACGGACAATAGTAACGATCAGATGCGCCGCCAATCGTCCAGCGGGACTAGTCATGTTCATATCCACGGCTCTACACCGAATGACAATGACATTCAAACTACAAACGGAAACGACGGTAACGGTGCTTCCAGAGGCCGCCGCTCTCGGCCCAAAGGGCTCAGCAGAAGACGACGCGATGCGCCCACGAAACTCACCATGCCTCCGGCACATGATTATATCTCAGAGGCCCTGCAGACCCCTCCACCCAAACGGAGGGATAGAAGCATTGGCAGCCTTCCTAGCGAGGAGGATCTCCTGGATCGCAGAATGAATGGCTTGGCTGGAGGGTTGATGGGAATAGGAGAGGGAGCTCGGACACCGTGAGAGTGATTGGATAGTGCTTGAATGACGTTCATGAATACACACGTTGATTATTAGGATAGATTTGCATCTACTACGAAGTTGCTTTTAGCAAACAATACGAAGAATATATATTAAACGTACATCAACATTGAGATCCGGTGCTGGGGATGGCGGCTATTCAGTCGATTAGACCTCCCGTGCATCAATAGTAGAATATTAAACCTTTCTAAAACATAGAGTAGTACTCACCAGGTACGCCAGAGCTTGATCGATGCTTCGATAGTAAATATAGCCATAACTTCAAAACGCATCACACCTTGGGTTTCCATTTGGAACTAGTTTCCACTATATCATGTGCTTGAACCTACTAGCCCAAGACCTTTCGTGCAATAATCGCTAGTCCATCAGCCTAAATCATTCACCGCCAGATAAAACTAGTCCTGAGCAGTCAAACCCATGGATAATGCAATAGTTCTATCTCAACAGTTCAGCGGGTTGGTGGATGTGGTTATGTCTATGAAGTCGACTTCTGGTCATAGGACCAATCCTCGTAGATAGTCGGTAGAGGAGAGAAAAAGGGAGATAATTCTTTCATTTGCTGATCCCTCTTTTGTCTACCTCACTGATATACCGTTGCACTCTCAGGGAATATCTGCATCAGAAAGTCATCCGGTTTGAATATTGTAAGTAAGTGCCGTGATTGTGCGTGGGCTTGACCATGTGTTTCATGATATAAAGAATGATATTAGCATAGCGCACTAGGTGAGTGAGAGAAGACTGGCCGAAGGGCCTCCACCCCGTCTTGGTCTGTTGTTTTAGTTGGTAGAGGTAGATAAAAAACGACGTGAGATCAGATGTTCAATGATTTCAAGGGAATATTAATGCTATATGTTAACCTAATGAGTGGATATTGACTGTCGTTGAAGCAAGCAAGCCTTAGGTTGAAGATGAGACTTGAATGTCTCTTGTACATGGCGCCTTGGGGCTGTAGGTATCTTGTAGGGCGAACCCTAGTTTTGAAAGGGTCCAACAAGGACTCTAGTGACAACTGTTATACAAGATGGGAAATACAGTTAAGGGGCCACCATGGTTAATGCTATTACAGTCTTAAAAGGTGCGTGTATCAGTGCTTGATATCTCACACTTGAAGAGGCTGTCCTATGGTCATCAAATATAAGAGCATTTGCATGAGCCTGCATACTATGACGTTCTTGCAATCATTGATAAATTGAAGGCTGTTGCGCAGAATCTAACAGGGCCAGGTGTTGAGAGCTCAATTTGAACACACTGAGTACACGATTAAGAGAGCCTAAGGGTGCATTAGGATGCAGCTCAGAGAACAGGGGCTCGTCAGTCTAAGAATACTGTGGGACTAGGGTTCGAAGAACATGTTCCTCCTTGAGAGTATTGACCACAGAAAGCCTTGAAAGGCGCAATCCACCATGCCCCTTTGATGTGGGGAATCTAGGTAGATTGATGCCCAAGCCAGTAATGGATGACACCGGGTTTCTCTCTATTATCGGAGGCACCAGCTCCAGTCGGGACCCCTTTTACCTAACATCTAATAGTGACTGGAGTGGCCTTAAGTCCAGGTTGCAGGCATCATGTTCAACAATATTCATGATTACATTGTTCACATAGCCTTTGTTCGACCATGGAGGCCAGTGGTTGAGACTCCACGTAGCGCAAAGGCGAAGATAAGAGCGGTCTGGTGATGTATGCAGTCAGGATTGGAGAAAGTGCATCACGAAGAGATATATAGCACTAAACTAGTATCTCCTGCTACCACAAAAGCCTTTTTTTTCTCCTACGCCCAGATGCATTCAAGGATCCACAACATTGCCCTGACTCCTGCAGAAGGGGCCATGGAACACAGCCTTCGAAGCTCGAATTGAATTACTTCAACGTTCTATTGCTCTCAGATTGGGCCTTAGAATATAGCCCCCAACCCTACGTGGTCTGCCAACTCACTTATCACTCACAAATCCTTTTTGAACTAACAAAAACGAAGATTATTGAACAAGAGAATGTAGTAAATGAAGAGAAAATAATAATAATAATAATAATAATAAATAAATAAATAAATAAATAAAAATGACAATCAAGGAACATCTGATATCGCATGTGAAAATCCTAGGTCAAGCATGTGATTGTGGACCTGACGTCAGCATGTCGGAAGCATACCGTCTGATACTGCTTGATACTCAGTGGTTCCCAAATTTATTTTCTAACCCTAACACCTACCGATTAGTAGATTATTATGTAGTTTCATACATTATCTAGTATGCCGATAGTTAATCTACAGCTTGAGGTTATGATCAAGGTTTGTAGCCCCTGCATTGATACGTACTACGCCAGTGGACTGGAGGCATGGGAATGAATTTTCCGGACTCGGCTTGCCGTTTATCGGGCCGATTACTCTATTCGTCCCTACTTGTACATTGAGGTTTTCATTCTAATCACTCCGAGCCGTTCAATCATTCCATTGGTGCTGTGGGTCTTTTTTTTTTCTTTTTTTTTTTTCCCATTATCTCTCTTAATAACATCTAAAAGTTATTTTGAACCGTACCGGTTCATAATTTCCTTACCTAATGTTGGTCAAACCTGTTCATAAAGGATGCATTCATGTGATTAACACTTTAGGGTCCCGCACTAAGGCTCCGTTCTGGAACACTTCTTATAGTATTTTCATTCTAAAGTGGCCAGGGGCCTACATAAGATTAAAGTAGTGCTCTAGACTGTAGTTCGATTCGTAGCCCTATTGTGCTATGATATTTGTATGCCTAAACCAAGCATAAATAGCATACGGCTGGCTGACCTAACTGCTAACAGAGTCTATCCCGGATCATGATATCCGCCTGATTAGAATATCACCCAATTCTATCCAATCACCTTTCTGATCCCACCCGAGTGACTTATGGCCTTTGCCTCCCTACTAGCCTATATTGCTGTGGCCTCCGAAGTCGTGTAGAATAGGAACATTTCGGTTGGGCTTCCGTGTTGTCAGATAGCACTCGTATCCTACCCTTGCCAAGTGTCAAGCACCCGGCATTCCGAACCTCCGCCGAGATAAATGCTTAGATATTTGGTAGCCTTGTGGATTATAGCCTGATTTGGAAAAGCCCAGCATATCTACCTTGAGATCCGCCTCGCCGCTGCGTGGTCCAACGATAGGCGCGGTGAAAACCGATGTATCCACTCGGACGGAAATGGGTTGACAACCGGCCCTACATTTTTCTTCAGTGCTGTCTTGGCTTGGCATAACTTGGTGCTTCTAGGCTAGTTTCCTAGGTGGTGCGAGATGGATGGGTCAGGTTTCCGCATGACTGAGTGGGTATGCTGTCATTAGTGAAGAAAAAAAAGGGTGATGGGGCTTTTCGTTAGGAGATGAATAGCTAGGCGTGGCCGTACTTATCTATGCCTTGGTCCTGGCTTTTGTTGTTCTGTGTTATAATTTTTCATTGATGGCCCTAGTATAATAGCTTGTCCTCAAGAACTCTTTGATCTTTGCCTCTCCTCAAAACTTTTGTTATCCTGTCCTGTCCATCACAAGTCTTACCAGTCAGGATACTACGCATCCCTTTCTACTATAGTATACAGTATCTTTAAAAGCTCTACTGATGCACCATGCAAGAGTCCAAAGTCATCAGCTCTGCTAGTTCAGGGGTCACAAAGACAGTCCAGCATCATGTGGACTTCGACGGCCCCAATGACCCTCTCAACCCACTCAACTGGCCGAAAAAGAAGAAGTATGTGTGCTGTCCATGGAAGCCCTAACTCAATCAGAAAGACTAATTTGTGGCTACACAATCTTAGGGTGTATATCTGTGCCATTCTAGGTATCAGTACCATGATAGTCGCCTTTGCCAGTAGCATATTCGCCCCAGCCATACCGGTCGTGATGCTTCTTTATGGTGTCAGCAAAGAAGTAGCCACCTTGGGCGTTTCCCTGTATGTCTTTGGGTTTGCCGCTGGTCCTTTGGTCTTCGGTCCCTTTTCAGAGCTCAAGGGACGATATATCCCTCTCGTTTTGTCCATGTTCGGTTTCACGATATTCTCCTTCGCCACTGCCGTCTCCAAAGATGTTCAGTCCTTGTTCATTCTTCGGTTCTTCACAGGATTCTTTGGGTCTGGGCCCCTTACACTAGCCGGTCCAGCATTTGCCGATATGTTCTCGCCCCAGCAACGTGGTGTCCCCATCGTGATGTTCTGTCTGATGGTATTCATCGGCCCCCTAGCTGGTCCATTCACAGGGGGCTTCATCATCATGAATCATTCTCTAGGCTGGCGCTGGACAGCATATATCCCAGGAATTCTAGGAGCAGCCGCTCTCGTCGTCATGACTCTTTTCCTCGAAGAGACATTCCAGCCCGTCATCCTGACCCGGAAAGCCGAACATCTGCGTCGGGAAACAGGGGACTGGTCTCTCCACTCCGAACAAGAAGAAATCCATCTCGACCTTCGTTCCATCATCCGAGACAACTTGAGTTTGCCCCTAAAAATGCTGGTCAAGGAACCGATTGTCCTGTGCATGTGCATCTTCGGCGCCTTCGTCTACGGTCTGCTTTATCTCTTCCTCACTGCCTACCCGTACGTCTTCCAGATCAAGCGGGGGATGAACCCAGGAGTTGGTGGGCTGCCGTACATCGGTGTTATTATTGGAACGCTCTTTGGCGCTGCCGCCACCGCTGCCACCCAGCCCTGGGTGCTGCGGAAGTTGAAGCAGAACAATGGTGAGATGATGCCTGAATGGCGTCTTCCCGTTGCTATTCCGGGTGCGGTCCTCTTCACTGGTGGACTGTTCTGGTTGGGGTGGTCTGGGTATAAGGGCAACATTCACTGGATTGTACCGACCGCATCCGGATTGTTCACTGGCTTTGGGTTGCTCACGATGTTTCTGCCTTCATTGGCTTATCTCGTGGAAGCCAGTGGTGACAAGTAAGTACACCTAGCATAACCTCCTGCTTTCATGACGGAATAAACAGAGAATTAACCCTTCTACCAGGTCAGCATCAGCTATCGCAGCACACACATTCCTGCGATCAGCAGCTGGAGGCGCATTCCCCCTTTTCGCAACCCAAATGGTTAGTACCATACACTCTACCTACACCTTCAACCAAACAGTTCACTAACAATCCCATGAATATAGTTTGATGGACTTGGAGTAGAGTGGGCATGTACTCTACTTGGCTGTGTCGGCGCACTTCTCATCCCTATTCCTCTCCTTCTGTACATCTTCGGCGCTCGGATCCGGGCCAGAAGCGGACTTTCAGCATAGTTCGACTTCAGTTCCTGGTCTGCACACCAGTGCAGTGTGGGTAAAAGAAAATATATAATAGTCCCTCCATTCTGCGTGGTCTTTTGTTTTGGGATACCTTTTTCGCTTGGGTCTGTGGCGTGGACTTTGTTTCGGTTTGCTTAATAATTTAGTTGAGTCGTCTGTTGGCTTTTATCTTGCTATAGACGGTAATGAGATGAATGATGAATGATGTATTTGGCTGGGGTACTCAGTGTAGAAATAGGTTTTACATGGGAGGTAGGCAATAGTATAGAATTATCGATGGAAACCATTCCCAGTGTCTACTTTTGCATCTAAATAATCTATATTCATAGAAAACCCAGACTCCATCGGCAACGATGTGTCCGTCGATGCCTTAATAAAGCTTATAAACGTTTCTTTGACAGCATATGGAAAATTCAAATACAATCTTCAACATCGTCCATCAGATCGCCCATTGCGAATATAACAACATTTGCCCTGTTTCTCACCCTCCGGTATCTATACCTCGGTCAGCAGGCTCAAGCCCTGATATTAGATCTCCCAGTAAAATCAAAGTGATTTACCTTGCAAACAAAGAATGCTGGATCACAACCACCCTTGGTACACACTGACATGAATCCCCGTATGTCCTTGGGGATAGCTAGCGCAGTTCCAAATAGAATGGCTCCGAGCATGGTCATGATCAAGAAGCGCATGCTGTCTGTGTATTCAGTAGGAACCCGTGATATCAGATATGAAGTAGGATGACTGCTAGGTTATGAGTTGTGGTTAACTCTTGTTGCTTTGCAGTATGCTCGAGGATCTGCAGATCGCTTATTTATCTTTTCTTGATGGAATGCATTTCTGTGTATCTTTATCTTCGGTTTTGGCCTTCTTTTCATTGATCTACTTTGTTTGTTTAGTGGACCTTGTTTATCTCTGAATTGTTTCTTCTGCTCCATTGTATGATTTGGTGTGGTTCATCAAAGAATAGTTGACTCGTGTTTAGGTATAAGGGGGAGAATGTCGGTCTGATTGTTGGTTTCCTTGGAATGGACGCTCTTTTCTGTGTCTCTTTTGCTATCTTTCGTATTGCTAAGTCGGGATATGAGCCTCTTTTGTGATGTTTCTACAACTAAAAAAATATTCATTTCATGATCCTTGGACCATCTTTCAGTGCTAAGACGCGAATACTGACACCCCTTCCACAGATAAATACCACATTACAAATACCGTCACGTAGGATAGTGAAAGGGATCCTGTAGTGCGCATGAATTCAAAAAGAATATACCCCTATCTTGTCGTCGGTTATGCTTGTTATGTATACACTTTCCACTCAGAGGATCAGTCTGTGATTCGTTATCTCACTACTATTGCGTAGCTCTATAGAGCCATCGCTATGGATTCACTGAGAGCAGGAGAGACCAGAAGTATGGGCTGGACGAAATATCTAGTGAGTTCAAGACGGGAAGTTCGAAGAAACTTCCAGTAGATAAGAGCTCAACAAGAACCTATTATAGGGCGTAGCCGTTTCCATATGTAAATAGGGGAAAAGGCAGAAATTTACGTATATCACCAAAGACCAAGAAGAGTCAGATCACCGAACAAGGGAAGATCGTACTGCATATCTCATCAGATCGCTACGAAGGAGACGATGGCTTCTGGAGTTTAGACCGTGTTCACTCTGACAATGTATATGGGAAAAGCCAAGCTCAAGCTTAATTGGACTAGTCCTTCCTACGTACAGTGCATCAATCGAGTTCAAAAGAAATGATAATTTCCTGTCACCTGATAAGCCTCGTCCTGCCTGAAGCACTGGTGCCTGGAAAATAATGAAGGTATGCCACGGATTTCAACCTGGATCCAGCGTATGGGAAGAGTGGGCTATCCTTATTAATATTATCGGTTCTGTTCTTCTTCCGCTTTATGAAGAATATCCCTTCTCATCAACGCCTCGTTTGTACTCTAGAAATGTCAGCGGCTTTGGGACAGTTAAGCCATGGTAGCCTTTTACATACCTTGCCATACCTTCTTACAACTCCCTAAGGAATGCAAATGGGTTGTTCAGGGCGTTTCCGGCAGCTGCATTCTTGGTTGGTTTGGTAGAAGCCGAACTAGAGCTTTCCTTGGCCGAAGTAGCAGCGCTAGTCGTGCTGGTTGCGGTGGATTTGGCTGCGGTGGTAGTGAACAGAACTGCCGTGATGGCGAACCATGAGATCTGCATGTTGATTGAAGTTTGGGTGTGAATTGATTAGGATAGTCAGAGCTGACAAAGTCGCCGCGTCGATGTCAATAATGATGATTTAAAGAATAGTAGAGACAGGAAATGAAGATGCAGATGAGGATGAGAATCAAAATGAGGGATGGGATCTGATGATTCTCCCGTGTCACCAGCATGAGAGGGAAGACGAGGATTATTTATGCCACTCACTGAAGACTCCAACCATTCCCTTTCCCCTGGATCCTGAGCTTCACTACCACTCTTTGTTGTTTCCCCCCCACTTCACTGTTCTTCCTCCGTTTCCAATTCTTTGTCCGCCTGCTCGGTAGTGCGTAGGCAGCCATGTCAACTTTTCCCTGGAGTAACCTGGCCCCGACGGCCTGTGTCCAATTACCTCAGTTACCTCTTCAGCGCAAGCTTTCTGGGTGGCTGTGTTGTATCACAGCGTTACTATTCTTTGATCCCCTTGTGATCAGCTTGAGTGGTTGGGTAAGCTCCGAGAGGGTTTATCTCGAGCTCATTTTAGGCTTACGTTTAAAAGGCTTGTCGTACAGTGCCAAATCGCTATCAAGGATATCCTTCTGTGTTACTCAACTTTGAGAAGGTTGCGTAAGCCCCATTCAATTATGGAATATCGGCTGAGACACCTGCGACTATTGCCAATCACAAAGAGGGTTGGGCGCTCTGTGCAGTATTGTCTCCGTCAATCGATCAATAATTATGTCTGCCTCCTCTCCACAGACCTAGCAAGCTGAATGAAGGATGTTCTATGACAAGGGGGTCCATCAGTTAGAGAGAATTGTTACGGTGTATGGTTCTAGACCTTCTTCGGCTTGGCAAATAGTTAGGATTTGGGTCACATTTGTCCCCCGCCACGCCCTTCTCCTAGCGATAAGGGGCAGCATCGGGGTTGGGCTCAAAACGGATAGTCGAGGATACAGCAGCGACGTGGTTCGTTGGTCACTGCCAGTCTTTGCTAGAATTGTAGCCCGTAAGGGTCACGCTGCTTTCGAACGTCTACCTCGAGATTGCCATCGTCGGTGTACAAAGTGGGACCGTGCAATTATATGAGATCGTATCAAGTGTTGAAGAATCTCTTTCCTATCATCGGTTACTATCGTCCATATATACTAGCTTTCATTTGCTGGTGACAAGTACTTTCGGACCCTTCGATTGGGATGTAGTCTAGGATAGAGAGCGACCATGCTGTTATATTATAACACTTGTCGCCTTCTCAAGAGTATATCTGTCCTAGTCGAAACCATATTGGAAAATATAAGCCTAAACTCAAACGTCTTTGTATTCGCTATTTGTTTACTGTGATGCTTCCTATCGCTACAACGAGTTTGTAAAGCTCGGGATCCTCTGAGAAACTTGAATTACAATTTATGATGCGTGCGATAGGCTAAATATATGCAAAGCAATATATGTAGTATGTTTCAAGTAGAATACGTGCATCCCGCTGCTGAAGGAGATCTGTTATGATAGGGCTGCCGGTAATCAGGGGATCGCCCGTGACATTGCTTCTCTAGGAGAGGCACGCGTCCTTAATTGCTTCATCCCCACACCTTACCAGCTAAATCGGCCCGAAAGTTGCGCAGGAAGTACGGAGTACTCACCACCTTAATTGTCCAATAGCTTCAGTATGTGCCGATATATATGAGAGTCTATGACCACAGCGCAGATATACGCCGGAGAACTTCGGTTCCTGCTTAGCGTGTCCAAGAGACGGATTCTCGAGTTGGTCAGTGTTATACGAACTGATCATCCCTGACCGACAAATTTACGTCTCTAATGGCGTTTTCACTAAACTGTGAACCATCCCAACCGGCAATTGCGTGCTCTAGAACCATCACCATTATCCCTCGCGTATCGCCCCTATTTATTAACGCACTGTGGCACGCGACCATGCATACCCCTCGTCCTTGTTTCCTTTTATTCTATATCCCCTCTTCACATTCAAAATTCGTCTGTTGAAACTCATTCCTAGCCTTGACTCCTGCAGCTAGACTCTGCTATAGGAGCTTCCCCACATTGGGGCGCCGTCGATTCCTTCCGTCGATCATTCTGAAAATCCGCATTGCATGCTTATCAACGGCTCGGAAAGGGTCGTCGTCAGTTAAATGGCAGCGATCGAGGAGTCCGAACTGCTCAATAGCACTCCATCCTTACGAGACAAAGAATATGATTCATATTCTTGGGAATTACTCGAAAATCATCCTCTTCGGTACCATCCTGATGAATGTATTCCCGGCTTGTCCTCCTACATAGCTAGGTATTTGGCTATATTGAAAAGACGATGGACGGAACGCATCTTCCCACTAATTTGTCTATTTCTGATGTTCCTGTAAGCATTGTTGCTTCAGTTGAGACTAAACACTATTGAAAAGCTAACCTGCTTCGACAGGATTGTAGTTCAGTTTCTAGCGGCGCTACCATACGGGCTCACATACATCGTTTTCCGTAGTGGAATTGAGGAACATCAAGGCTTTGTTCAATGGCCTACTGAGTTCAGTCGGACACCAAGTGCCTGCATCCTTTACAATCCACAGGCACATGATGCTATTCAATATGCTATAGATGCGGGATGCTCGGGGGTTAAGGTGGATCTTCAGGCACAGGAGGGTAGGCTTCTCGTGGACAGTCTAGCGTCAGATCGAGAGGTGTCAGAGACACTGGAGAATTTGTATCTCAATCCTTTACTGAAGAAACTGGATGCCAGAAACTCTGCGGTAATTTATCCAGCAACTACTGACGCGAGTAGCCCAATTGGTCTCTTCGATGAAGACCCAGCACAGCCTTTTACGCTGTTTCTGGAGCTACACACTTCGGTACAGGCGGCATGGCCGCATCTAGTTTCGCAGCTCATGTCGCTGAAACAAAAGGATTACCTTTCCTATCGGAACGGCACACGCGTTGTCCCCCGCCCTGTTACCATCGTCCTTACAGGTTTGGAAGGCCTAGACTTCGGCGATGGGGATGGGTCCGACCATGACAATGTCAATGAAAGTATGATGTTTGATACCTCGCTAGAGCAATTATTGAAGGAAGATTACGGCTCTGCCTTGAAAGTATCCCAGTCCTCCCATAAAGTCAGAGGGGGCAATTCTGCTCAAACCGAGGCGGACACAGAAGACAGTCTAAATCAGCATCACGAGTCATCGTATCAACTTGTCACTGCGACTGCGAACTTCACCCGATCAATCGGCTTCCCTCATCGTGGCGGTCGGTTCTCTTCGCAACAGATCGAGCGCGTTCGCGCCCAAGTGCGAGCCGCTCACCGGCGCGGTCTTCGCGCGCGATATTCGGGGACCTCAGGTTATTCACCGCCAGTGCGGCGGATGATCTGGCGAATTTTGGTCCGCGAGGGTGCGGATATGATTGAGGTTGACGGGAGAGGATGTGAAATTCCTTGGTGGAGGCGATTCTTTGTCGGCGGAGGCATGGAATGCCGCGGTCGGAAGGGAGATACCGGTAGCGTATAACTTTGCGGTATAATTTTGGCAGTAGACGACGGTAATGACGTACGCGTGAGTGTATGACATATTCGTTTATATCATTTCGAATGAAAGGTCTAAATAAGTGCAACCTAGGATGAGATTTCCTGGTGAGAAAGCAAATTATATGCCCCGGAATCGCATAAATCCAGGGTATTGACCCCCCTTCCAGATCTCGACAGGCCTTTGATAACCCATGGATGAGGAATGTGTCGCATCAAGCCACCTTCGCCACGACGTAAGGGGGATCGGAAACTGAGGTATGTATGCGCCGTCGAAATGCGTATGTACGATGTACCACGGTACAACAATGAATATCAAACCGTATATCTTTGTTCTCTCCGCGCACAGACTAGTTTCTTTATATCTCGGTTGCACCGAAACGTTTCGGAGTCCAATGTAAATTAAGGCGACAAGAAATATAACTGTTACCATGGCTACGGATATGATTTCCTTCAAGGGGCTGGACTTTCTCGGGTTGGTGTTATTTATCGATGGTTTTTTTTTTTTTTTCTTTTTTTTTCTGCTTGGAAATCACCGGGAGGGAGGCGGTGTCGCGGTGTAACTGTATCGCTTGGAATTTACTTTACGGTGCCTGAATGGTGGGGATCCAAGCATGCTGATGACATCAGGCTGGCTGCGATTGATGTTGGAAAAGGGTACTTTCAAGTTGGGAGGGGGAGGATAATAATAGGGGGCTTCCTTCCTCCGTTTTTGTTTCTTTGTTCGTTTCCTTTGTATTTTATTTTATTTTTATTTTTCAATGTCTTGCTTCTGACGACTCCTGAATATAGTCTTGTGGAGTTTGTCTTATTAATGGGGAGTTTTATAATTATAGAATAATAATACTACCGGTATCATGAAGGAGACTTTCAGAGACATGATCCAGGGTCAATTGGATATCAGAAACGAGGGAGGAAACCGAGGGAAGAGACTAATCGTTGGTCGCAGATCAAGTACTGGTGGTAATGATGGGCATGACACGTCGTGATGCATAAATGCCGACCAACAAGCATGTCGGTGATTCCTTGCGCCCAACGTAAAATGATTCTTAGTAGTAAGAAACCGGAGGAAAAGAAAACCGAAGAAAAAAAATATTTATATATAAAAGTGAGAATAATGTAAGGAGTATAGCAGAGATAATTGGAAAAAAAAAAAAAAAAAAACACATGACAGTGTATTGAATACAGTTCTGTATACTCCGTACTCTGTATAAAATGCTAAAATGAATATTAAAATTCAAATCAAAGAAAATCCATAACTGCATTCCAGTCAAAAGGCTCCACCAGCTTCCCCGCTGCCACGACGGCCCCATCGGCCACTACGATTTGCAGCTGGTCGTTAATCGACCCAACTAGCGGTTCTGCATTCAATTGATTGGTTCTGCGCCGCTTTTCTTCCGATGGTTTTGCTCCAACTCGACACTTGGGCCTGTCGCATGTTCGTCTTGTGCCCCTACTCCATTTCTCACCGATTTTCCTACTTTTTATTTTTTTTCCTTTTCTCTCCACAAACCTTTCATCCACCTTCCTACCCGAGCTATCTGAGAGAGCTGTGCAAGTTTTCACTTTCTCTCCCCGTGGATTCAGTTCCTCACGCTCGTCGAGCTTAATCCGATATTCTTCTTTTTTTAAATCGTATTCTTTGGTTTTCCCCGTCTTCCGCGCCGCTTGATATTGTTACATAAAAACAAGCTTTAGTCTCGACTCACTCAACTCTGCCTTTCCACCGCCATTTGGCGATCATCAACGGTTTCAATTTTTTTTCCCTTCATCGCCCAAACACGAAAAACCCTTCCCACCGTGTGTATGCTGCCAACCTCGACAACGGCTCGAGTACCACCCCCACCACGATGATGATGGATTTCCAGAAACACCCTCCCCAACCAATATATCATTCACATCCTTCGACGATCCTAGGCACGTCCCACGATCCTCGTCTCATTGCTCCGCCGCCACCTCGTGCCTACGCACCACCGCCTCCATCAGCACGCGTGTATTACGATACGTATAACCGACGCGAACCCGAGATGCCTCCAGTGCCGGTATATCACTATCCCATTACTACTGCCACATCGATCCCTGCTTCCTCCGCTCCATACACCAACGAGAGTGTCCCGGCGTCATATCGAACAGAGAGCAACGGGTATCACGTATCACAGGCGAACCCCAGTTCGATGGGGAAGCACACGCAGGACGGAGGGATAAAAGAGTCTAATGATCGTCATAATTATAGTTATAATGTTAATCAGCACAACAACCATGATCGTCGTATGGTGTATCGTGAAGGTAGGAAAAGCTTTCGAGTTTTCTCAATTTGTCCGTCTGTTTCTGCTTCTGTCGCTTGATTGATTGATTCCTTAATTTACTCGGCATGTTGGGTGATGACAGATTTGAGGGGGCTGGTCCTTCGTTGGATCTAGCTGGTCGCATTTGCGATCGCCCGGTGGTCATTCCGAGACAGCTGATAGATGAGATTTCCATTTTTTTTATTTGGTTTTTTTTTTTTTTTTTTT